GAAGCTGCAGGGACGCAAACAAGTCATCACGCAGATGTCCGACATGATCACGGCTTTCCAGCGTAAACTTGATCTATGGATGTACCAAGTGAAACAGGACAATCTTGCCCACTTTCCTGTTTGTCAGAGCATCTCAGCCGCATTTCCTGGTACTTTTTCATGTACTTAGCTAGCTACCAAACTGAGCCGGTTAATGAATGAGTTTGATCGGCGCTTCTCTGACAGCACTCAGGCTTTGCCATCTTTGCCAATCCTTTCACCACCGACGTCTGCACTGCACCCCAACATCTTCAGATGGAGTTAATAGAGCTTCAAAGCGATAGTGGCCTGAGAGCAAAGTTCCAGGATGCTGCAATCCAGGACTTTTACCGTCAACTGCCCCCTGGTTTGATGCCACAGCTTCGACTTCACGCTGCCCGTGTTCTGTCTATGTTTGGGAGCACCTATCTGTGCGAGCAGATGTTTTCAATCTTGAATCTAAACAAGACCAAGCACAGATCACGCATCACTGATGACAACCTCCATGCTGTTCTACGGATTGCCTCAGCACAAGACCTAAAACCAGACATTGACACACTGGCCATGGAAAAAAGGTGTCAGATATCTGGTCAGAAAACACATAGGTAAGCATTTTTAAAAACCTAATTAAAATATAATAAAATGTATTTCAACCAAGAACAAGAATAGTTAAACTGTGTGCAATTTAATGATTGTGCTTGCATTTTGCTTTGTGTTTGTTATTTTCAGAACATGATCAATGGATGAGGATGGTGGAGAGGGGATTCATGTGGTGTGTTAAAGGACAGGCAGCATCTCCTCATCAACTTCACCTTAAAACTTGACCAATATAGTTGTGAACTGAGACAACCCTTGTGTTGTTATTTTGAGTTTATTACATATACTACGTTATATGTGTAGCAATGTATTTAGTGTTTGCAGGTTTATGTGTTTATGCAGACAAATGTTCACTGTAATCAAACCATCTCTCATTAGTTGGATGTATCCCCTTGCAAGACTGTGTGCAGCCATTTGTTTGTGTAAAATGCTACAGCTGTCACACATGTTCTTAGCAGCTCACAGTTGTTGGTTGGACCGTTGTTCTGCCCCTCTCAACTATGACAAAGTTTTGAACAAAGTTAATGTCATAACTTGTTATTTATCCTTATTCACTTGGATAGTTTGATGTGTTAATGTGGGTTTCATAAACTGACAAATTAAAAGGATTTATGTTATAACAGAGTAACAAGCAAACATTTCTTTTTACATTTATGCAAATATATATGTAATATTTTTAAGTTGAATAATAAAAATCCAGAGTTATTTAACATTAAGGAGTAGTTGCATTTATTTTACATTACATTTAGCTACATTTATACTGCCTCAAAGTTACATCTGGCCCTTTGAGGGCAACCATTATGCTGATGTGGCCCTCGGTGAAAATGAGTTTGACACCCCTGCTATAGACCAATGTGAACTAGTCTGTTCTACATACTCCGGTACCATAGATGGCGGTATGCACCTAAAAGCTGTTATTCCGGCAAATAAAGTAAAGAAGAAGAAGAAAAACTACAAACGCGCAGGCGCAGTTTGCTGACCTTCCGTGGTAGTCCTTAAGCAAGCATGGCATCCCCGACACTAACGAAAGGTATCTGAATATTAAGTATTTTCAAATCTCCAACGCAGTAGATTATTTTTAATGTATTTCTCACAATTTTAGATGCATAGCGAGCACCGCTTTGGCGTTGTTTTGTTTTTATGCTAGTAAACCTAACCGACAAGCTAGCCACAGCTAACGTCAAGTAGCTAGCTGGTTAGCAATCAGTACTTGCTTGTAATAAGTTAATATCCGATGTTTTGACCGGTATTTGTGTTTCATATTTAGGACTTCTGGGGCTACGACAGCTACGGACTTTTACAGTCGGATACTCCTGTGGTGGATATCAATATACCACTGCAGCGGCTCTTAAATCACCTCAACCTCACATTAACGATGCTCCAGGTGAGCAAATGTTGCAGGGATGTCTGTGATACAACGATGGTTGGATGTTGTTGTTTTTTTTACGTAAGACTTACACAGCAATGTTTCGTTTTCATGCAGAAAAAGTAATGAGTCTGCCACTAGAGAAGCCGGACTTTTTCCGTGTGTCAGAGCTCTTCTCGTTGAAAGACCTATTCGACGCCAGAGTGCATCTTGGCCATAAAAAAGGTTGCAGGCACAGGTTGGTATTACTTCACTCGGCTCATGAAAAATATTTGGTTCCTTAGTGCTAATTAATTTTTTGGCCGTCATCAATAATTGACTAATTATGTCAGCTGTTATTTCATTCAAAAGTAACTGTTGACAAATCAACAAGGCAATAGTATACACAAGAAATTGCTATAAGGTGCTGTAACTGAACATGTAATATAAAAATATAAATCTCACTTTTTTCTTTTTTTAGGCTTATGGAGCCATACCTCTATGGCAGCCGTTTGGATCAAGATATAATTGATCTTGACCAGACTGTGGAGCATCTTCAGCAAGCCCTGAACTTCACTGCCCATGTAGTGTACCGCGGCGGCATCATACTTTTCGTCAGCCGCCGGCGTCAATTTGGACACCTGGTGGAGAGCACTGCAAAGGATTGTGGGGAGTATGCCCATACTCGGTACTGGCAGGGTGGTCTCCTTACCAACGCCCCTATCCAGTATGGCCCGGGAGTCCGCTTACCAGACCTCATCGTTTTCCTGTCCACTCTGAACAATGTGTTTCAGCAACATGTGGGAATCAGAGATGCAGCGAAGATGAACATTCCCACTGTAGGTGTGGTGGACTCGAACTGCAACCCCTGCCTGGTGACGTACCCTGTGCCTGGGAATGATGACACTCCTGCTGCCATGGAACTGTACTGTCGCTTATTCAAGATGACTATCAACCGTGCCAAAGATAAAAGAAGACAGATGGAGCTACTGCATGGCCTGTCGGCACCCTCTACACCAAGCTCATGACATAATATATTCTATATAAGAGACATTAAAAATGCATTTTAAAAGATAAGACTGTTTGTTCTCCCTGTCATCGTGCATCTGCATTTGGAAAAGATCTGATCTGTGTTTGGGGTGGAATTAGCCACAGTGCTGTCTTGTATTTAGACTGAAGTTGTGTGTATATTACTCATTAATGAATCTTATTTCTGTAACATGACTTTCTCATTCTAACTTAACATTTTTCTTTACCCTTAAGGTTTGTATAGACTTAACTGTTGTGCCCCACTGGCGACCAAGGACTATGTTTACATGGATAATCAAACCCTTTGTGCCACTGTCGTGTTCATATTCACGCTCACGCAAATGACTAAAACCCCTCACATCATGTCAGTGTTGGAGTTTGTGTCTATTTGTCAACCCAGTCTTCCCTTCATGCTGCCACTATGTTGTACCCCTGAGGGGTTTTGCAAAAAGGCTGGTTAAACCCAATTTATGGCAAAAGCTGTATGTCCTGCAACATGGCAAAAAAAAATGTCGGCCTTTCAAAAAATAAATGCATAGTGCATGTAGGGGAAATAGCAGTTCTATAAGATAAACAAGTTGAATACGGTTCTCCCAAATTCATTATAATGTACTTAAACATAGTTTCTATGAAAATATGCTTGATTGTTGATTGTAATATATGTAGCCATTTAGCTCATATTTACCAACATGATCTGATCTCATTGACTGAAATGTAACTTAGTGCATTTATTCAGCTGCTCTACTTTAGTATAAGTTTGAGTAACTTCACCACATTTAATATCTTATATCAATAGTTAAAGTGCAGAATCTGGTTACTGGTACTGTAATATTATCATACAAGTGATCTACTCCTGATCACTGTTCTCCTTTCCTCTTTTCTTCTTCAACTCTCTCAGCTCCACTCATATATCCCTGGAAATGTCCTCCACTCAAAGAAAATATAAAACAATAATAGTTTTAATATTTCTGATCAAAAAGTGTTGATGTAAAAATATTGAATGCATAACTAATTTTCTTAAATTTGATCCACCTCTGCTTCTTTACTCCTGCTTCTCCATCATCTTTCATCACATTTTCATCTCCTGTCCATGGAGATAGATTTGTCTCAATATCATTTGTGTGAACAGATTGACAGTGAGTGAATGTGTGATCTGTAAGTATAAAACACCCTCCACAAATACAAAAGAAATAAATTTGTAAATTTACAAAAATATATTGCGAGTATAAAACAGATCCACAAGTAACGCAAATGATAGCCTGCCGATGACGTCATTTCCGCTTTTCAGACTAAGAGCACGCAGGCTTCTGTGAGCTTTTATTTTTCCCAAAATAATTAGCGACAAGTAACGTGCGCTACGTTAACACTTGTAAGATATGAAGCGACAGGAACCTGGTTAAGGTCTTTGATAGTATGACTGTTGGTGTTGATATTTGTTCTGTTAAGAAATGACGTATTGCAATTTTATTGTCATTGTTAATATGTAGGCTAAGCTTACGTTAAATACTAAACCGGCACCTGTTGCCATGGCGATAGTAAACATTCATGTTGTGAACTGGGGGAATGGAAGCCGGGTGCTGGATTTTAGACACTGCGATGACAATCAATATGCATTGTAGATAGACCACATTTCATACCCATCCATCCTGTAGAGAGATAACTGGTGTCATTTCTTTAATATTGAGTTTATTGTAATCATTCAGTCCATTTCTGGAGGGTGTTCTATATTTACAGATTACACATTTACATGATGGTTGTCAATCTGTTCACACAAATAGTATCGAGACAAATCTACGTCCATACCTGTCCCTCTTTGCCTGCTTTCTCCACAGAGTTTTAACGTCTCATTTCCTCATCTCTCCTTCATTCTTTTCCTCCCTTTCTCGTTCACTCCTCCCTTTCTACTCGCTTCTTCACTCTTCAGAGAAACACGGGGAAGTCGCTGGTATATAAAGCGCATGACTGCACAAGTTTGGTAGCTCTCAGTTTCCGTAGCTGTATAACTAGTTCTCCTGGATTAACCTGCTCTGACCACCAGGGACATACGCTGCGACGACAAAATGGTGAGTGTGATTATTTGACCTCATAAACCATAAACAATGTTTATGTATAACTTCATAACTGTTGTATTTAACGATGCAGCGTCACATCTTACTCATAAAGCGCTAGTCTTACGTGTTGGACTCAAAAACTTAACATGACTTGTTGGCAAATTTCCACTTTTCCGTGTAACGTAAATATGGATATATCATATTGATATTTAGCTATAATAACAGTGAAGGTTTACTTTAATTCTTGTGTGTTTTACCAAGTTTGTATATCGTGTTTTGGCGCAGCTTGACTTTCAACGTTGTCAGCAACAGGCTATACTTAGGTTTAAACTGTCCCAATGTCTTTTTTTTTTTTTTTTAGACCTGGTAGTCCTGTTAAAAGTGAAAATGTATAAATGTATAAATGTGAGTGACAGTAACGTTGAGAATGCAGCCAGAAATATATAGATAATAATAGAAATCAGTGGGAAACGTGGAATGTTACGTTATAATAATTTATAATTGTTTATAAGCTGCTTATCTAAGTAAATAATATAATAGAGTGGGTTAATTAATTTGCCAAGTGAGTCAAATTAAAAGTCAAACAAAATATGAGAATTGTGCTACAACTCACGATTTGTTTCATTACCAGTTGATGTTTTGACGACTTTCTCAGTCAAAAAGTGTTGTTTATTAAAATGTCAACGAATTGTGTTACAGACATTGTTTAGTCAAAACTTCAGGCCAAAACCTATATATATTAAGTCAACTACCATAGAGGAGGAAGAAAACCAGAAATCAGTCACATTTGATATACGAGGACCAGTAAAATTTTGTTATTCTCGTTTTAAAAATTACTTAAATGATTATCAAAATTGTTGTCCATTAATTATCAATAAACTAAGGATCAATGCTCTATATAAAATGATACAGGTTATTACTAAAATATTGTAATTGGTTCCACACTGCCATCAGTTTAACCACCAATAATTTAATAAAGTAACGGACACAAAATGAATGTGCCAGTGGAAAATAAAAAGCCAGTGACAGTCACATGTTGTCAGTCAAGAGGTAGTTGAATACTCACCATAAATATTTCCGAATACAGCCACTGACCACACCATTTATTAGCCAGGATGTGACATGAAGTTCATCATTATTACTACGACTATTATTTTACAAATGTAAGGTAGGGCTTAAATGATCAATTCATTCCTTGTTTCAGCCAGACCTGGCCTAAACAGATTGTACCATCTCTTAGAAAGCCAACTGTGACTGTGAATCTCTGCTTTACGATAATGTGTGTACATTCATTTCTCATTCATAGACGTCGCCTTCGGCTCTGTCCTATGGACACCAAATGTTAAAGGACCAATGGACAATGATCTTTGGTATGTAAAACTATTTAAATAGTTGTGATTTTGAACTGGAATACTCGTAAAACATCTTCACACTGTTCTGATGTAGGTTGCTTTGGTTCTTGCAGGTACAGGACATGCAAAGCAGGAAGATACATGGCTTTGGCCCCATGAAGACAGCTGATCACAGTTAGTGAGATGACAGTGAATGGTAACCAGTCTTGTTGAAAACTTACTCTGTAACTGGACACATTAGGGTTAACATTGCCCTTTGAGACGCAACTCTGGCTGCAGTGTCTTTGTTGCGCAATAAGCGGGCACACAGTAACCGGCTCACGATAGCTCAATTTCCACTCTTAAGTGGGCTTTGGGTATGGAACCGGGCCAGATACTTACACTCAATTTATCACAAGGCTGATGTCAGTAGTAATTCATATTGCTGATTTGTAACACAAACATCAACCCCACTGAATGAAGCTTGGTCTATTTCTCTGTCAGTCAGCGTATCAATAACCCAAAAAGTCTGTTCTTATGGCATTTCAGGACAAGTATGGGCAGATGTGAGAGAATTCCCGCTAAGGTCTTATTTATTTGTTATAATGTGAACATAAAAATTACATAAAAACATTCACATTAATACGCAACACATAAAAGTGTTGCGTATTAATTGGATCCAAACATTTTGCTTTTATTGTTTCCTACTAATAAAGATCTTCATCATGTGGAGGGTCAGAGTTCACCACTGTTGGACCAGATAGACCTGCAGAGTTGCTTGGAAATGCTTGGACAATTCATGCTTACGCTCTCATCCAGCCTTCCCCTTGAGACATTGCAGTTCGACATTGTTTAGAGCCTGTGTCATAAGGTAACAAAGGATAAAATGGCAACATCATCCTCTGCATTCAGTACCTGCAATATTTCGTTTAACAACAGATCACTTTATTGAAAGCTCCTAAGTGAATGATTGTTGAAACGAGAAACTAACATGACTAAAAAAACTAAACCAATTCTGACTTTTCTTCACAGATGGAGTGCCCAAAGTGCCCAACATCATCCTGCCTCATTCTCAGGACAAGACATTTGAAGCCATCTGCAGATATGTGCGCCTGAAATTGAGCACTGATGTATGATCTTCTGCTTAAGCAACATGAAGCCTACTGCTCTTACCCATAGGGGTTATAATGATGAACTATCACTCAATGTGATGTTATAATGTAGTCCGATATGATGGCTATTTCCTGAAGTTGTCCTTTGTTCTTTTTTTCTCTTTAGTTTAAGGCACTATTCTTAAAGTCCAGCCTTATCCAATAAGGATGAATCAGTCCTTGTGACTTTGATGTAATGTGAAGAATTGACATTTATTTAATATAGTCTCCCTGATTCGCTTAATTACTTGTTTCTCAGATGATATGATTAAATGACTCAGGTTACTATTGATAGTCATTCGTTTTGTCTTTGGATGTAATGTTATGAATTGAAATTTATTGAATATAATCTATCTTACTTGCTTATTTTCTGTGTATTTTTGTACATCGTAATATATATGAAATCAGAGTTCTATTGCGCTAATAAATATAATTTTTAATAAATATTTGACAAAAAAAAAATTCTCAACTGTGCTGGGACTTGGATGCTTTTGTTTTTTGGGATTCTGAGAAATTTGTTGTGAATGTCTGCTGCTAAAGCCGACGTATTTAAAAACATAAACTCAAACTGTTGTTAGCTATACTATGAAATGTCACCTTTGGTGGTTGCACTCAAACAAATTTTAAGTCAAAATAAATGTTTCCCAATATTATATTGTGAAGAGCTGCTTAAAATGAACTGTGACTCTTGAAATAAACCCTATACAAATAAATTAACCTGTTTCCTGGGTTGTCTCAGGTGAGTCGGATGAAACTTGAAATGCTGACTACAACACTATCAGTCAGCAGCTCTGTAAAAGTTCAAATGTAGCTGTAGGTTCAATGTAGTGGAGCAGTTTCACTATTACTAAGTAAAATCCCTGGAAGGGCTACCATGGAATGTAATATAATTATTTTATCATTTTAGGCTTTTTAAAGCACGAATATCAATTATTTGCTTTTCCTAGCTTCTCAAATTTCAGGATTTGATGCCATTCTTTGTCACACAAACTAAAAGTCTTCAAAAATCAGACAAAACAAAATTTGACGATGTCACCTTATTCTGTGGGAAATGTTTTCACTGTTGTCATTTTATATATAAACAATCAATTAATCAAAAATAGTAATGGTGGTTAGATTAATTGATAAATCAAAAATAATCAAGCCTTAATTGGAAATCTCAAGGGTCTCTGCTTTGAAATTCTATAATTAATTTTAGGGTAACAGACATACCCATGCAACCACTTATGGAAAGAAATGTTAGGTAAAATTCAAAATGGTAGTTCTGATTATTATAAAAGGGTCAAGTATAGAAAATGTGAATGACAATTTTGAGTTTACATATGTCATCAAAGTCAGCAGATTTCTCAGTTGCATGTCCATGTAGAAGAGACTTTTCTGTTTTTTTATTGTCAAATTATTATGCTTACCACTTTGATTCCACTAGATGGCAGCAAACGACAAACCTGCGTCTGATCTGCCCTGGGCGTCAGATGAAGAAGTTAGCATTACATTCAGTACGCTGCTGCCTCTCAGCGTACATAGCAGCAACCACTGGACCGGGCTGTCTGTGAAATTTACCTGTTTTTTTCACACTACCGCGTGTTTACTTCTGGTACAGTAAGAGTTATTGTGGATTTTTCACAAGGACCAATTAAGGAAGCCCGAGAAGAACCGAGGACGTGTGGGGAAAACAGAGTTTCGTGAAACAGTCCCTTTGGTCTGCCTCTACTCTGCTTGTTAGCCATTTGCCAAGAGAGTTATTTTCTGGGGCCCGAGGAAACATGAGCTTTCTTTTGTGAGTAATAAGTGTGTTATGTATGCTTATTTTGTCTGGCAATTTTAATTTGTATTTGGAAATTGTCAGTGGTGCCACACAACTAGCTAGCTAGCTAGTTAGCTAGCGATAGCATAGTGTAGGCTGCGACTACTTCCTGGACTCACATTCAGATGTTTGATGTGATTCGTTTTGCTTTCGTTAGATTGTTTTGAAAATGACCACCGGCATCGATAGTAGATCAACTGTAGCATAAAAGTACCCGATGTTCTTTATTGCCTCTAACCTGTGACCCATTTAATACCAACCTCAGATCAAATTGAACTGATAGGGTTTCACAGTCTGGCCTGGGTATTTGCTGGTGTGAACACTTTGTTGCTGCGAGCTAATCCAGACCCGATATGACACAACTCACCAATATCTTTCAAAGTAAGACAATGCTATTATTGATATTTAGGATGCAGGAGCAACATTAAATGCGCACTCTGGTGAAGATGTGTGTGTTTTTTGGTAGCTGGAAGATGAAGAACATAGTTAAAAAACACTCAACCCTAGAAAACCTTTATTGAATTAGTCTCCACTTTATTATTTAAGTTACTTGATTATAGAAGACTCCCTTGTGAAGATTTGAAACTGATTCAAACTTCCTTTGTTCTGTAGAGCATGATTACCATCATAAAAGCCTCCTTTTAATGTCTATTATTCTCTCCATCTGCCAGGATGCTCCAGACAGACATATGATTAGCTTCAGTTGACTCCTAATAGGTTAAGATAATCAATAATACATCCCACTTGAAGGAGAGATCATGGACATCATTGGTTTTCAAAACCAGTGTATTTGGTTCAACAAGAGAATCATTTCTCTTGTCGTACTAAAATAAATATACTTACAGATTTTCATAAAGAAATACAGGATATGTTGATTTTTTTTTGGATGGACTGGTGTTAGTAGATATTAATTCTGCAATTAAAAGAGCAACTGTTATAGTGTGTAACCTATGTAACCGTGTTGTGATGACTCACAAAAATTCTTGTTTAATGGGGCAGTGAGAGAAATTGAATACACTACCTCTCAAAATGGCCTCATTATGCGTTATACACAAAGTGACACCCTGTTCTGGTCCCCAACTCTGATTCTGCGAAACCCAACAACTCAACTGGAGCTCAACTCTTTTGTCAGCATTTTTTTCTTTTAAAAGATGTTAACTTTTTGTGAGCAAAAGGCCATTACCTAGGGGCCTTGAAAAACTCATGATTTATCATCATATTTGACTCCCTCCTTGTTTATCACACCGTGTCTTCCTCTTTGAAATGTGACTCACAGTGGAAACCGTTCATCCAAGACGTTCAAACCCAAGAAGAATATCCCGGAGGGTTCTCATCAGTACGAGCTGTTGAAACATGCTGAGGCTACACTGGGAAGTGGAAACCTGCGCATGGCAGTCATGTTGCCGGAGGGTGAAGACTTAAATGAATGGGTCGCAGTCAACAGTAAGCGCCAAATTTACCTTCCCCTCCTCCCTTGACACACCCTTTTTGTTGCAGATTCCTGGAAGAGTGACTTAACCCTCATGCCTTTTTTATTTCTGTATCTGTCAGTCTCTCCTTAGTCTTTATATTTGCATGCTTCGCCGTAGTCTTATTTCTGAAATGTCAATTAATCCACATCAAGAATCAGTTGAGAGTGAGCTACCATGGTGTTAGATCTTGGCATCCCTCTAAAGACCATGAGCATTCATGCTGGAAAAACCACTGTGAATGTTAAATAGACTGTATTGTCTGTGCTATGAGAGCCTTGTTTATTTTCCTCTAAATTGAGATAAATGGCTGGTCAGGAGAAGCTTAATTTCCTCTTGCGTCAGAACGCCTGACTTGATTTTATTTAAATCCCTTTTACTAGAATACAACATGAAGTGATTAGGATTTGATTTATTTTTATATGGTCACTTTTTTACACTGGTGTAGAGCACATGATGTGCATGATGAAGAAACACTGTCATTTGAGTCTCTTGAAGTTAATTGCAGTGAATGGGCTGCATTGTATGGCTTTGATACATTTTGGATTACATTTGTAGCACAAGAAAACTAAAGTAGCTAACTGAAAATCTCTCATTTGCTCAAACAAGTTCATACATTCTCTGACTTTGGTAACCGTGCTAGAGAAACGATGTCCATATTGCAATACTTATTCTCCAGTTTCATCAAAGGTTAGTGGAAACGGATGGATATTGGTCACACTTACAGGAGCTGTTTAAAGTTGCACAATAAGGAGAAGTTAGATGAAAAGTGCTGTGAGTAATAACTTCCTCCACCACACAGTTTAAATGACTTTACACATGATCTCTGTTCACAAGAAGCAGCTCCTGAAATGGATAGTGACAGTAGAGGGAGAGACAGAGGGGGTTAGGTCTTGCAACAACAGTCCCTGGATAGAATCAAACTGGGGGGTGTAATTTTGTATGCGGCCTAACCACTAGGCTGCCAGTGGTTTTCCTTTTTTTTTTTTTAACAGTCCTTTAGTTTATTCTGTATCACCTGAGCATCTCTTATTTCACGTGGCTCTGCTGTCTTTTTGCATATAGCTCTATGTCAGTCTAGGCCCTAGGAAAGTCTGCTACGTTGGCAATGACTTTGCTACCTGTCATGGAAAAGTCAACATCTTGACATTGGTCATGAGCAAGTATCAAGCTTGGTCTCAGGCTGTAATAAGTTTAAAAACTTTGTTGGCATATACTGTAGTGTGGGCTTTCAGCTCATGCTAAAATCTACAGCGTCCAATAAGCTTTTATGTCTTTTTTTCGTTGTTGTCAAACTGTCATTCAGCTACAAGTGCCAAAGTGTTTGACTAAAATATCCTCAGAGGGGACTGGGCAAACCCTAATCAAACACTCAAGTGAGCTGGTGTCTCCTGAGACCGGACCTCACACAAAACATATGCCACTTCAGCTGTTCAATATGTATTTTTGTCAAAGATTAGCAAAAGTAGCAACAACACTAACACTGCCAACCCTTTAAATGGATCTCTCCGACTGATGGAAAGCCAAAGTTGGCTGTATGCCCCTGGGAATGAGTGATAACACAATTCGTGCCAGATAACCGAAGTGTGTACTGGTCTACAGTCTGTGCTGGGCAGTGAAGTGGGGAGGGTAGAGGGCTCTGGGGAAACTTGATGCCAGTTATTTGTGCTGGCGCACATGGTGTTTTGTCTCATGTAAGCTTCATTCTAATGTTGTTGTTTTTTGTTTGTTTTTTTGCATTTTTTCAGCTGTGGATTTCTTCAACCAGATCAACATGCTGTATGGCACCATCACAGATTTTTGCACAGAGGAAAGCTGTCCAGTCATGTCTGCTGGTCCTAAGTAAGTTTATAATTTTAGTTCTGCAAGTAAGTAGTCTCATAAAACCAACCAACAAGCCTTGCTTCACTCATTTTGGTCTGTCAAAACTCAACAGGGCATGGAGTAGGTTTACAATTATAACAATTAAAGTGCAATTAGCAATAATTAGAATTTAATTAAACTTAAAAATGCAGCACACTTAAAAAGGCACGGCAGATTCTTAGTGTATGTTTTACCTGCTTGTACCTCACACAGATTTAGATTGCCTTCTGCAAGGTTGAAGGGGTCTATGTGAGAAGGTGGTGAAAATCTTCACTGTCAAATACACAACATAATATTTTGCTGTGCATTAAATTGTATCATTGGTGAAGGAGTGTGAGTCGTAAAATATAATGTTTGTCATCCATACTTCCTGTAGATATGAGTACCATTGGGCTGATGGGACCAACATCAAGAAGCCCATCAAATGCTCCGCTCCCAAGTATATTGATTACCTCATGACCTGGGTGCAAGACCAGCTCGATGATGAGACACTTTTCCCTTCAAAGATCGGTATGTTTTATTTGTTTTCTCTGTCCTGTCAAAGCCATCCTTTCTTTGTGTGGTTTTACTCAACATTGGTGTAATGTTAGTAAAAAAAGAAAGAAAAAGGGCTCTGCAACCAACAAAAGGGCTACCTCTACTAACAAGTAAACTCATGAGAGGTTTTCTCCTTCCTGTGAACTTCAACTGTATATCACATGTATATATCAGCAATATAACCAGTCGTGTTGGATTGTCATTTGCATGTAATCAAGTTGACAAATTTCAATTTGCAAGCTTCATTTTTACTGTGCAACATTGTTTAAAATGCTAAAGGAATAGTCCGTAGATGAAAGAAAGGGAAGAAGTATTACATTAGTGGGTGGATTATTCGAGTCTTTTGGGGAACTTTGTAATTTTTCAGCAAAGTACATTTAAATTTTGCCTAAATAACATGTTTTGCAGATTCAGAAATCTCCCTAGTAATGGATGTGTAGGGTACTTGAAGGTAAAGAGGAATAATTAGCATGCACACGAACATAGCTCTCAACCACTGAACTAGTTGAGGCTTGTGTTGTCTAGGGTGGAGCCCTGAACGGAGTTGGATGGCAGCCAGCACAGGTGCATGTCTGATCTGTTCCCTAGTACAGACACCTCAGGGGAAGGAACAATGATTAAAGGTGCTCCCCTCGAGTGACAGAATTCGCTTCGGTGTCCATGATCAATAGATCTATTACTGATGTTCATTCTGTGCCAGGGGTACAAACAAACAAAACAGGGAAGCACTCGTAAAATCATTGATCCACAGTCCTGCTAGTGGTCAGACACTCCATATTTGATGGGGACGAATACCGGCCTCTAACCTGTGAATGGTTCATATTCCTGGAGTAATCAAGTTTGGGCCATGTGCATGTCCAGCACTTAGTGGAAGGTATAATCTAGAACTCCTTGTCCTGTCTGTCACCGGCTTCTTTTGAATAATTGATGTTGCTGTAGGTAGCTCTCTGTACACTGGGGGTTAAAAAGAGCTGTCCACCAGGCTTCTGTACTCCGCAGCTGTTCACTGAATCACTGGAGAACTGCACAACACTTCTGAAGTGTGGAGAGCAGTGCTGTTGTAACAACAGCAGAATGTCCTAACGACAGATAAACACTCAACAGACTGTTACCGTGAGGTTGTTCTGTGTTGCAGTTATGATTGTTTGCACTTTACACAAATCATGCTCTGGCTTGCCTGCAGAGACATTTGCAATCCAGGAGAACATGCTGCAGTGGAGCCGTGACTGCTCTGAGCTTTTTCGACTTATTGAGCTGACAAGCAGCGATACAGAGATAAGAAGGAAAAAAATTATGCACCTCTTGAGTGATTGATTGAGTGAACTTTCATCTTCTCAGTACATTCTGTTTATTGAAGCTATGCCTGAAGAAACCAAGCACGGTTGAACAGTATTTGGGCATTTTGAAACACTAAAAATCGTAAGGGTCCGTTTTTATCTGAACGTGTTTCCCTCAACCTCACCACTGATGGAATGATCTACATGTTTCATTGTATTTTTGGATGATCTGATTGATCTCAACAGTTTTTCTTTCTTGCCCTCTTGTTCCCAAGGTGTCCCCTTTAAGCGCAACTTTATGTCCGTGGCGAAGACCATTCTGAAGCGCCTGTTCAGGGTCTACGCCCACATCTACCACCAGCACTTTGACTCTGTCATGCAGCTGCAAGAAGAGGCCCACCTCAACACGTCGTTCAAACACTTCATCTTTTTTGTTCAGGTAAAGAATCTCTGGCATTCGAATATTGGCTTTTGTGTGTTTTTCCTTGACTTATACCAGTGTATTAGCAATGAAAATGTTCACACACGGTGTTTAATCTGATCATGTTTGTTCCCTTTCCTTTGTCCTTTTCAGGAGTTCAACCTCATTGACAGGAAAGAGCTGGTCCCACTACAGGAGCTGATTGAAAAACTGACAACAAAGGATAGATAAACAGCAGTGTAATCCTTATTTTATTGGTCTTCTAGTTTTTGCACAGATACCCACCCCACCCTGGCTGTACGTATGCAGTATATACTATATTTCCATTTGGGGAAATGTTTTTAAAAAAGGCCAGGAAGAAGGAAGGGTCTTGATAGGTTTAAGGCACCAGGACTAATGCTATCAGGGATAAAACACTTAATTGAACAAACTACAGATTAACATAATAGAGAAATGGTTTTAGCTGTATGGAAAAATCCCCAGTGTTCACTCATGGCTTACTTTTGGGATAGTATAGGCATATTAGTTTTCTATTAGACTGCACAGATTTTTTTTTTCCACTTGGATTTATGGCGACACGAGGCATTTCCATGCTCTTAGATTCCTATTTCCAACTCACCCACAGGGGAGAATACAGTGGAAGTAAAGTTGCTGTATCATAATAGGAGGGTTTTATTGGTGTTATGGCAAGAATTTAAGCCTTTTAGCCAATTCAACAGGAGTTGTTAGTTATTTTATTCATTAATCTACATGGAAGGAGCTGGGTTGCAGTTTGCTACTGTTCACATCTGTAATAGCCCTCACATCTGTATCTTTCAATACAAAAGAATCCTAAGTGCCTAGCATGGCTCATAATTGCCCTATATAAACAGTGAGAACTGTAAGAAGATAAAGGCCATATACCACTGACACGTTGGACACAGCATTAAATTTTCCTCTCCACCTTCCTTTTAATTTTCTGTTTCTCCAGTCCCTCTTACATCCCTTTTCTATTTGTACCATAACTTGGTTCAAAAATAATTTTCTCTGCAAAACCATCTCCTCATCAAACGTATCCTTATGTAGTTACAAAGTCCCTTCGCCAACTGTTCTGTGCAGGTAATGATAAATGAATGTTTTGAAGGACATATAAGTGAGGCTAGAATATTGTCATGTTGTAGCAGGGACTGAAATTTAATTTAACTTTTAGCATTTTCTAGTAACATGTTCCTGTGTGCTAGTTTTTCCCCAAAAAACTTATAAGTAGAAACACAGTTTAGGAAAGGTCTGCAAGGGATCTAAAACCTTAAAGTGTATTTTAAGGTAATTGAATAGTTGTAGATAAGTGTGTGACAACCTCAACTGTTTAAAAATAACAGCATTTTGAATCAGATTTTGAGACATCCCTTGTTATCTCGCTAGCCATAAAGCACTTTGAACAATTTTCCTGACCTCTCTTGCCTGAATGTTTATTCTGCATAGACCGTGCTTTGTGAGAAGCTGTATCATGTGACTGATCATAGTTTGGTTCCTCTCTTATTTCCCCAAATGAATGTTGAATTGCTTAACCTCCTCTGAAATCAGCTATAAGGCACAAGTGAGATTTCTTTTGTTTGGTTTGAGTTGTTTGTTGCTGTGCTTCAAACAGCAGATGCATGTACCCTTCCCCCGAATCTCAAAGTGTAGTTTACTATGCAATAATTGACAACACTAAAAGGGTTACCAGTTGGCTCATTCATACTTTATATCCAATGTTCATTTTCTTTTATTGTGCTTAACTTCTGGTGTAGGTTAAAAAATAGATTTGCTTCTCATTCAGGTTTGGTTTCAGAAAAAGGTGACATGAACATTTTATATCTGAAATTTGTCAAAGAGGTGTAATACTTCATTGCACACATGTAAATACTGAGGGTTAGACCTGTCTTAAGAATAATTTTCAGAGAGCATGGAGTGGTAGCTTTGGGTTAAAAGAATGCATTGAGTCTTTTTAGAGGCTGCTTCCCCTTCCCCTATTTGGATATTAAATTTTGTTTGTTTTAATTGTTGAGTATCTGTTTCCACTTCCTTAGCTAACTATTATGAATGTTACTGCTCATCAGATACCTGAAAATGTAATAGAAAATCAGTCATCCTGATGCATCTCATCCTTATGAAATGCCCGTAACATAGCCTATTGCCTACAGTTTTTCCTCCTTGACTGTAATAATTGATGAAATGTTTGTAAATATTGGCTTGGTAGGGGTTTTCGATGCTACTGAATTGATTTATGCTGTTTACAAGGCGAATAAAGGTGGTCTTGACTCTTTGAATGAATTCAGTGTTTACTATATACCAGTAGTGGACATAAACTAAACACACTATTGAAGTAATGTTGGCTACTTGAGTACACATTTCAGTATTCCAGTTCTATGCTACTTAAACTCCACTTTATTTACTTCAGGTATAGTTACGTTTCACATTAAGATTTTGTTTTCAAAATGTAGTTTATAAAATATTGCATTATTTTAGATTAAACTATTCTAAAGTATATAAAGCCGTTAGAATTAGATCTGCTTCAAGCAACTTCAATATTTAAGTAAGCTATACTTGTACTTGAATATTTGTATTAGTATAACACTGACAGGAGGTATAGTAAATACCTTTACTTTTAATACCTGAAGTACGTTTTGTTGCCAGTGCGTTTGTACTTTCACTAAAATAACATTTTCAGTGCTCAATTTTTACTTGTAGAGTTTTTCTAAAGTTTGAGATTGTTGCTTTTAATGCAGTTTGTGAAAGCAAATACATACATTGACTCACATAAATGTAGTTGATTTTAGGGGAACTTTACTTGGGTATTTCCATTTTTTTCCTCTCTTTTTCTCCAATATATTTATTTCCATTTATTTAAAAATTAAAAAAAAAAAAAAAGAGCTATATTGAAGTTCCTCTTACATATTAATACATAAACAGTAATTGTCAAATAATATAATAATACGACACCAACAGTAGCCACTCTGGCTACTTACTTTTGCCACTCTTAAGTACATTTTGTTGCTAATACTAGTGTACTTTTACTTATATATGACTGAAATACTGAATGAAGGACCTTTGCTTGTAATGAAGTCTTGTATAGTATGTTTTCCACTATGTTTACTGAAGTAAACATTTTAAATCCACCGAGTGCACCAACATAAAAACAAACCAGTCGGCTGAGGCGCTGCAGCTGCTTCCGGGGGGGAGGCGGAGCCACATCTGTGTGCAAACCACCGCTTTCTGACGTTTGTTGCCGCCAAGCTTGAACAACAAGGCGCCCTCTCCTGCAGCAGCTGCAGCGTCCTCTTTAATCAAGAAGGGAAACTTATTTACCTGCTGAAAATGTCTTTCACTCCGAAGAGACGCTGCCCGGATTCAATGAACGATTCAATGAACGACTCCATGAACGACTCAATGGAGAAAAGGATAAAGCGGATTTCAGTCGAGGGAAACATTGGTGAGTTCACGGCTTCTTATTTATTACAAAAGCGAAATGTCACATTACAAGGCAGCTTAAAACTTTGAATTACTAGGGGTAGTCAGCAGGTGGTATGTTAGCTTCTCTCTGTGTAATACCTGGTAGATTGAGACAGTCCTTACTAGTTTATCGATTACATTTCTTAACTTTAATTTTGCCGCCAAATGCCAGAGTACCAACTGTTGCCGCCTCTTACAAACTACTCCCAAATAAACCCTCATAATGTGTCGGTAACTAAATGTCATATGCGATATATCTGAACTTCTTGCACCTTTTTTTCTGTGTTTAGCGGCGGGCAAATCCACCTTTGTGCGCTTCTTGGAGCAGGAGAGCGCGGATTGGGAGGTGGTACCAGAGCCCATCGCCAGGTGGTGCAATGTCCAAACAAAAGGCAGTGACTTTGAGGTATTGTTGACATGACAGTGATCGACCAGTGTTTGAATGATGATCCTAATTCAGTGCTGCCAAGTGAACATCCATTCATACACCTCAGATAAGGTTGTGAAATTGCTTTAATCAGCTAATATTTATTGTAATTAACTAATATAATTACCAGTTTGAGTCCAAACGTGATGTTTTTAGGACGGCTTAACATATAATATGGGTTAGTTTTCATTATGCTCCTTCAGGGGAACATGATCCTTCAGTCGTCTGGCCTCTCGCTACCACTCATTCAACACGCTGACAGGGCACACGTTAAGATAACTGGGGAGACTCTTCATCTGTGTTTAGAGTGCAGCTGCCATCTGCCCAGTTATGTCTGCACTGGTCACTGTTATACCACCACCACCACACACCCAGAGGAACAGATGGTCCCACTCTGGACCGATGAGCATGCCATCATCAGGGCAAACATCTCTAACCCTCCCACACAGCTGCAGGCCTATAGCCGCACCCTCTGGCCTTATTTTCTCACCCACATACTGCGACTGTATTCAGATGCTTGCTTCCAGTATTTTGAATCATATCACTATCTTCATATAGTCTGGCTCATGGTGATAAAAGAATACTCAACACTTGAATTAACTTAATTTGGAAATGTAATTAAACAGTGTGCATTCTGTTGCAATCTCTTCTATATTAGAGATGAGCGCTTGCTTTTATTGTAATGATTCTGCAAACTGAATCTTTAACCAAATCTTTAAGCCAAAAAATGTAATTGTTTGAACTCACTCAGTCCGGCTTGACCAGTGAAAAGAAAATTAACATGTTTATATCTAGACTGAGTTTTTTTTTTTAAATATTAATCTTTAATCTCGATAATCTATAACTTTTAAACGTAAAATGTTCAAAAGGTGAAACAAAAGTCCTCACAAAGACCGTCCAAAGATATGTTTTGTTTTTTGTTTTTTTTGTTGGTACAATTGTGCAAATGGTACTGTGCACTGCACCGCACACTGTGTGGGACAGTGTAAAATGATAGGGGGGGGTATTATCAGTATGTAAGACTGTTCAGGATTCTTCTAACAAGACTCCTGGCTGCCACCACTGTGAACCATTCAGTTACAGTAGCTTGGTCATACGCTCTCTGCTGATCATTGGACAGTGTGCAGCGCAGTGCAGTTGCAGTGAGCTGCTGGGGGTTTGCCTGACTTGCCATTAAAAAAAAACAAAAAAAACAATGAAATTAGAAAAAAATGACATAACAAAATGACATAGATGTAAATTTTTTCATTTCGATCAAATGTGGACTGTGAGGGTTTTGGAAAAGCTTGCTTCAGTCGTTGGTCATGGATGTTGTAATTATTTAGTAGTAAGTTAAAGACAAAAGTGAAATGATGCACAGCAGGTAGAAAGACAGCAGCTACGTAAACCATTGAATTCAATTCCCATAAGTAAAACATTTAGAGGGTAAAGTCTTGAATTAACTTTACAAAAGTCTATATTTCTTAACTGTCATAGACATTAACCCTACTTATAATTTTTAAGTAAATTTTTATATAATTATCTGTGGTTGTGGGCTGTTTGGAGACATTTTTATACATCTATAAACCTCAAGTAAAACCGGTGAGACAGTGGACTGAATGTAAAATGTGTTTGTACAAATATTTCAACAGTATTTGTTCACTGTGCATGTAGAATATTAGCTGTATGGTTGCAACAGATTGATTCATCCCCTCCATTTGAACAGGGAAACCTCAATTAAAACTCACATTTTGAATTTGATGCACTAGGAGCTGACCACATCTCAGAGGAGTGGAGGGAACATACTGCAGATGATGTACGAGAAACCGGAGAGGTGGGCCTACACCTTCCAGAGCTACGCCTGTATCAGCAGGGTGCGGGCCCAGATCAGGTCGGCCAACGGGAAGCTGCAAGAAGCTGAAAATCCTGTGCAGTTCTTCGAGCGATCCATCTACAGTGACAGGTATCCGCAACAAAACCGATGACATGAATCCAATTAAAATGATTCTTTAAACTTATTTCCCCTATCATGGCGAGCGTAGTTATTATGGAATACAGTGTTTGAAAATTGTACATTCATACGGAAACAATTTCTTGAAAATGAATCTAACAGTTTTAATAACTGCTCAAGTCAATTATCAATAATTGGCTGCACAGTTAATGGAAATATAATCAATATGCAATGCAATATCCAAATCGCAGGAGCTGCAGCTGTGTCTCAACATTTGAGCCTAAAAATCATATCATATATGGAGACATAAGGAAACGTGTTTGTTGGTACAAGACCCAACAAAAATAAAAATAAAACATTCTGTGAAAATATTGGGCAATAACAATTTTTAAATTGAATATTTTAGGGTTTTGTAGTTGTAATTGGGAGATGGCACTGGAGGCTCTAGTAAAACTGTACTGGGCATTTTTCACTATTTCCAGGTTATTTATACAGATTTTAATTTTTTTTTTTGTATATAATTCTTATTAGAAAAAAAACAAATGGCACATTAATAATTAATGAATTTATACAGTTGCAGCCCTACTGTTGATGCATGCCTAGACTCAAAGGTTTCTGTGTGGCCTGCTGAGTGGTAATGCTTTAATGCAACCAAAATGAACAAAACGTACCTTTTCATGTTCGTGTTAGTAACTTATAGAATGTACTAAATGTTTTAATATGTTTGCGTGATGATCAACAGTAAAACAAAGTATATTATTTATAAGTATATATTTATCAGTATAAAACACTGATATGGTACTTTTTTAATGTTTTATAAGTGGGGGGAAAAAAATCCATGTTCGTTCATTCCTTCTCCTGCACTCCTGATGTCCCAGGTACATCTTTACAGCCAACCTCTATGAGAGCGGGTGCTTGAATGATACTGAGTGGTCAGTGTACCAGGACTGGCACGGCTGGCTGCACAACCAGTTTGGCAAGCACATCGAGCTGGATGGTATCATCTACCTCAGAGCTTCACCTGAGGTACTCTCCCTGGTCTCTCCAGCTTCTTTTACTGCATTGTTATTCAATTACCTCCAGTTATTGAGCTTTTTGTTATGGAAAATAGCTGTTTCTTCTCTTTAACTCGCATTAGGGCAAAGGAAAGAATTTAAAGAACTGATAAGGAGCTTTATACAAATGCCAATCATTTCCTTCCTTTTTGTTTTGTGTGTATAGAAATGTTTAGAGAGACTGCACCTGAGAGGCAGAGAAGAAGAGCAGGACATTCCTCTGGAGTATCTAGAGAAGCTCCACTTCAAGCATGAGAGCTGGCTGCAGCACAAGACCATGACGTGAGCAAACACATGCAGACACAGACTTTTATGTCATGTTTGCACCAGAAACTGTGCATCTCCGTGAGAACAACAGATGTATCTGTGTTATAGAAGAGTTACCGACTGACCTCGGGCGAAAGAAAAGTACCTCATTCATGCAATAACCTGAGGGCACCTTAGAGACTGAAGCAGTTTTTGATCCATGTGATCTGCAGCTGCCATGTGAATGCGTTCAAGAAATGCAATTCAAATGTTTTAAAAAGGTTAATCTCTTTAAGGAAATAACTTTAAGAATCATTTTAAAAGGATGCTGTGTCCTGTGTATGAATTATTAATCACTAACAGAAGGTTCCTTATCTTCTCTGGCCCACAGTACGGAGTTTGAGTATCTCAATGATGTGCCAGTCTTGACCATAGATGTGAATGAAAACTTTAAGGGAAATGACACCAAGAGAGCCGACATGACTGAGAAGGTGAGTGATGGTGAAGCCGTCTTAAAGACTTTAAATGGTCAAGTAATGCTTTAGCATTAGTCTCCAGTCACACATAGCAACAGGAAGTTGAGCTGAAATTTAAATATACTGGTCTTTTCTGTACGATTTAAACTGCACACTATAAATCTCACTGAGCTGGATCCCTTGTACTTAAGTATTTTCATTTTATGTAGCTCTGTACTTCTACACGAGTAAATATTGTACTAATATATACTAGCCAACTGTAAAGTGGTTAAATTGGCTCCATCTCCACCAGCTGCAACCTTTTTTTTTTTTTTTAGTCTTAATTTGAAATTCTAGGAACCAGCTAATGTTTTTCTCTCAACAAAATGAGACTTTTATGCCTCTAGAATAGACAAAGCACTTCAACAGTGCATTCTACCTTCATAATCAGGACAACTTGTGGAATAAGGAATACTTAGGTCAAAGGTATATGGAAATTTTTGCTTATAAAACTTATGTAATTTTACTGGTTAAGTTTTCACTGTTGGACTTTTACCTGCAACCTAATATTTTCATATTGTGACTGATTGTGGAGCCTTGTAAAACATGTGTATACTGTGCTGTTTGGGGGGAAAAGCAGGCTTAAAGGAAGGGATTTAAAATGCATTTTTGGGGGAGGTTATGCATTTCTGAGTGTGACCTTTCTGATACTGACACACACGCACACACCTAGGTTTCACTATATGGAAATGAGGCCTGAAGAGTTGCTTATGTAGCAGTTTCATGTTGATGGTAAACACGGGCGCTTTTTCGACATTCCACTTCCCATTCAAGTGTCATTAGCAAGAAATGGAGCCAGTTACACAAACAACGCTTTGTACAAATGACATTAGCCGACGTGTCTCGGAGCTGGTGTCGCCCAACAAAGAAATTCAAAGTCACAATTCTCACCGATGTTAAGTTTCCACTGGAAATGCTAACGGCTTTCCTGCTGTTCTTTTCCAGGTGAGAGAGTTCTTGAGCACGTTGTGAAGATGGAAAACGTAGACGGTGCCCACAGGAGGAAAGAGTGGACAGAGTATTATTATTTTAAAACAATGAAATAGCTCAGCAGTGACAATTTTTTTTTTTTTCTCAACTTTTTTTGTCTACACAATCATTAAAAATGATCTGTTCTGTTGGATTCATTTTAAAACACTTTTAATGCTGTTTTCTTTAAATATTTTTAATGCCGTTTTTTATGTATGTGGTGTATTTATCAATGCTAGAATGTACAGTGTGTCCTTTCTGTGACAATAAATTGGAAGTAGATGAACTAATTTTGAGTGTTTGTAACCTAACTCTTGTAAAAAAATGAGTCTCCACAGAACTGTTGTTAAAACTTGATGACTATTATTATTGTTATTAAACAAGCATGGAAGACATAACTGGTTCTTGTCTGGTCTGTCAAACTCTCCAGGAGATGTCGCCGGTCCTCATAGCGCTGCAGTCAGCTATTCCTGTCTGCTCAGCTCGCCTCTACCTGGTATCTCCAATAGGATTTGAGGAAAGCTACCTGAAATAGTTGCTTTAATTTTCACCTTTTTAATGCCTTATAATTACAGATTAGAAAAGAATGCACAACTAGGCAAAGCTTGCAGACTTTTTGGTGCACAGCAATGACAAATGATAGTGTATAAAGTCCAGTTATTGTTTAAGGTGTTTTGATGTATGCGACTGAGATCCACAATAAATGCTCAGTCTGTTTTTTTTTTTTACATTACTGGATCGGTTGAATTTATAATTTGCATTGTTTCGGTTGCAGCGTTAACAACTGAGAAACCATTTGACAAGTTAAAGTGTTCGGTGCGCCACCCAGGAGTAACTTTCTGACCTCCACCCCCCTGGTGGCGTCACGCAGGAGGAGGGATGACACTTTAAATATGGAAAAAGACACGCTGCGCCTCACAGAGTCTCTCCACACGCTTCCAGCCAGACACCAAACGAGCCTTTTCTCCAAGATGTCATCTGGGCACGACCTGAACAAGTCCAGCACGATATGAAGATTGTGTCTTCTGCGTTAGATTTGATTTGTAGAGTCGAAGAAATCATTCCGGCGAGATAGCTCCAGCTCCTGGACTTTCTTTCTCTACTTTTTATCCACTGGAAAAGCGCGACAGCTAGAGTAGGTGAAGATCTCCCAAACACCGACCACGAGAGTGAAAAAAGATCTGCTGGACGCCACGCTGATCATCTTCAGAGGCGAACGTTTGCCACCATGAGTTCCGACAAGAGCAAGTAAGTTTATGATGTCTCCTCTTTCCTTATTAAACTCAACAGGCTGGTTGTGGTGGAAACTTTACCTTGTAGCTCGCAGACCATACCTTCAGGGACATTTCCTGCCCAGGTGGAAATCAAGTGTAAATTAGGCTTCAGGTGAATGTCAGTCACCATTAATCTGAAACTGGACATTCAGAGTGTTATCCGGCGTCGTTTGAGCTTTGTTTGTGCGTAAATCTGGTCTGTGAGTGGCTCATCTGGCTTCAGTTGGTGTCTGGTTCCATACCTTTTTTTTTTTAGTAAAACTTTTGCAGACAATTTTTAGGCTGTTTATCACGTTAGGAAACGTTTTCATTCATTTGAGTTACACTCTTTGGTTTTGATAAGACGCTGCTGCCGCGCCGCTGCGGCTACGAACGGCCACTAATCTGTTTTCCAAGAACCTGTCACTATCAATTAGCGAGACGCAGGCAGCGCAGGCCAAGTGGTGCAGCTCGTGTCTCTGGCGCAACTTTATCAATAAAGCTGTGTGTACCTATGTCTCACAGGCCATGCGGCCTATGAGCTGACAACCCCCCCAAAAAAAAAAAAATCCACATGCAGCGTGGGCCAGCGTGTGCGCCCAACATTGCGCAATGACGCTGAGGCCAAATCTGCAACAAACCAGACTTCAAGGAAACTCCGTGTGTGTGTGTGTGTGTGTGTGTGTGCGTGTGTGTGTGTATACACTGTTCTTTTCTCATGTGCAGCCAGTTTGAGGTAGTTACAGATATTAGGACTTACAGAATCAGCTGGGCGGGGCACAGTCACTCTGTTCACCGCCTCCAAGTACCAATGGGTGAAACCCGGAGGAGCGTGTATTGACTTACTCTGTCTCCTTTTTTACAATGGCAGCAGAAACTGTAAGAACACAACTCTGCTCTCTATTGTTCTTGAGATTGTGAAACCTGGTTTGCAATGAGGAAATGTCATTGTCTTCTTTTTTTTTTTTTTGTTGCTTGATGCTAAGTGGAAATCTTGAATGCTCTTTTGTGCAGTGCTGATTGACGCACTGTGCAATTAGACATTCATCCATTTACTCCTCCGCTCAGGTTTTGTGTAGAGGGGAATTCCATAAGTGAAGATGTACCTGAGAAACGGGGCAGGTTAATTACAACTCAAGTTATTGCATAAACCGTACATGGTAACTGTCACGTGACAGGTGTCCTCTTTCACCTGCTTACATGGACATTTTTACATCATCAGCCAACCTGTTGTTTGAACCTATAAACTGCTGCCGCTTCTTTTTTTTCTTTTCTTTTTTTTTTTTCTTCTCCCCATCAATTAAGTCATTTTCAAGCAATTAACACCAAACATTTACTGGCCCCATCCTTTCCAATGTGAGGATTTCCTGCTTTGGTGTTTTATATCACTTGAATTTTGGATTTGCTTTAATAAAATTAGTCATTTACAGAAGCAGCTTTGGACTCTGGGCAACGTTTTCATTATTTTCTGATCTTTTATAGATCAAATCATAATTTGTAATGTAAATGATTGATAGTCGCAGCCCTGAAATAAGAAATTACAGACTCTTAAAGTGATTATGTCGCTTTAGTGTCACTCCCTTCCTGCAGACTTGAAAGGTCTATATTGTACTATCCTCCAGAGAGGATTGCACAATAACTGTGGTTTGACTTTTTTAACATTGAGATCCATTGTAAGTGTAAGTGTTTTACAGCCACTTTTTTAAGCCATCAGGGGTTGAGGGTTTGATTCTAAAAGGATGCATTTTGGGTGGAGTATCACTTTAAGCTCCATAAATCATCATTACTGTTCTGCTGGTTGGACTCTCACTCATGGTGAACCTGGCTAGAGGTGGGCGGGGGGGGGGTTGGGTGCGTCATTCTGTAAAGAGATGGGGATGATCCCTGATCCCGAGCAGCTGATCCTGGCTCCTCACGCAGCTGACAGGTTTATCCAGTCTCATGAGGTCACCGAGAACCCGAAGCAGCGAGAAGTTCACCAGCAGCGCGAGGTGGCTGCAGCTGGTTGCTCTGACCCTCACCCAGATTTCTTTTTTTTTTTTATTTTTGATTAATCAGGGGAAGCCATGGCAGGAAATGAAAGAAGATCAAGAAGATTTCCTGCATTTGCAATGACATGAGAAGAGGAGACACAAGATCTTATGTCTCTTGTTTTCATACACACGATACAGATTCCGCCTCTTTTTTCCCTTTTGAGCGACATGACTTTAACTCAAGGGTAAATCGTTTAGACTGAACTGACGACTCTGCAGCGTAGACGTCACCTCAGCCTTTCTTCTGCTTTCCACCTTCACAAGCCAGTTTAATGTGTGGAGCGATTAACGTGGCACAAAGGACCGACTATAGGCCGCAGTAAACCTGCAACATGAGCTTCCTTTGCTCTCCTGTGCGGCCATCGCTTTTCTGACGACCCTCTTGCTGTGATACATGACCTGCCTAAACACACACACACACACACCATCAGTAACACTTTGGTACCTGCAGTAGACGTAAATGAGCTTCCTTCCTGGAAAGCTTTCCACAAATATTCGATCCTCCCAACTTGTGTACAATGTTTGTGTAAGAATGAATTAAAATAGCACCACCTGTCTGTTTCTATAGTTTTGACTGTGTCTCCTCTCTGATCTCTGACCATATTGTCACTGATGCATGAAATACGAGTGTGTGTGAGCTCCTTGAAGCTGTTGGTATTTTTCTGTATGCTCTGTCCTGGAGGGAAAGAAAGATGGCGTCCAACACGCACACACATATCTGCAGCTAAATGAGAGCGTTGACCCTCTCCACGCAGCGCTGTGTGGGAACTTGACCTCTCCTCTTTTCCTTTTTTTTCTTTTTTTTTGACAGCAACAATGGGCAACAAAAGGAGGGTACAGAGGCTAATCACTGTATTACTATTAGCTTGTATACTTGGCACTAGGCCCGGCCGCTCCTCCTCCCCGTCCTCCTCGCTCATTTGATCTTGGATCTGGTGGCTCGACATTATGTCTGCTATCAGCGTTTGTACCTCGATCTCCCTCAAGGCCAGATACCGTATCCACTGGGGGAAATTCAGATGAGCTCGCAGTGCAGAGCGGAGGAACAAGTTGTATCCTTCCTGACTTTGTTTATTTAGTTTGTGTACACTGCTCCCATCCCCTGGTTTTTTCAAACTGTGTCGTCCTCTGTCAAATATTTATGTTTTGTGGTTTAACAAAACTATTCTCATGAAGCGGTTGGTCAGATTGGCTATGACGGATGAGCTCCTAAATTTGATACTGGCACGCTTATGTAGTCTGAAGGAATGGATTGACTGACTCTAAACTGTTTATTATCAAGTCTCATTAGAAATTAAACAAAAGTAAAAATATATTTCTAGTGCAGTCGGCTGCTAGCCTCAGTTTTTTTTTTTTTTTTTTTTTTTGTAGTCAGACATAGGTGCATTGTTTCCTTTGTACCTGCTTTTGACAGAAGTGTACGTATATATTCCAGTATATTGTGCCACGAAACACCTTTCACAGCCTGGATTGGTCCACACACTTTACAGGACTGGTGGAGCCACATTCTTTCCAACCTTCCAGTAAGGTTGATGCTTGATGATCAAAGGAAACTCCAGGGCATGGAAGATGGCCCTATCTTTGATGTGCAGTAAACATAAGGCCGTGAGTGAGTGAGTGAGTGAGTGAGTGAGAGAGAGAGAGGGAGAGAGAGAGAGAACTAGAAGACCCGGTTTGACTGCCATTCATAATAATACAGGTGGATCTTTCTGTAATTAAGCGTGCTGTGCAGTTTATTCAGTGCAATCACTGAGGAAAGGGAGCTCACATGTGCATTTTGGCTAATGCAGTTTAAAGCATGATTCCAGGGGTTAGTGTGTTTTTAAATCATTCTGCCTCCTGCTTCTTTCTTTTCTTTTTGTTCTGCAAAATATCACATTCAAACCAGAAAACAGCAGAGTAAGTGTGATGAATGAACTTGGGTTGACATCGTTCTCCCTGTAACATGTGGGTTGTCCATCTTTTTTTGTTGTTATGCCACAATAAGAGAGAAATTGCTTGTCAGGCTTATACTGAGGTAGCAGAATAAAAAGCTGAAAAGGAGCCATTATCAGGATTATGTTTCATGCCAACTTTGATTTGACTCTATTGAGCCTAACAACCACTTTTGATTTGAACATTTTGGTGTCACTTGTTCATTTATTTTAGTGTTTTCAAGTGTTTTAAAAACTGTGGATGGCGTGGGTGATGGTAAAGAAAGACATGCTGCCCTGTGCGATGATCCTGTATTTACTTATTTGTTCTCTTTTTTCCTTGCAGAATGGAGGATGAAGCGGTGTTGGACAGAGGAGCGTCCTTTGTCAAACACGTCTGCGATGAGGAGGAAGTAGAAGGTAATCTATCCGACTGAGACGCTGTGAGCTTTAACTCCACACATACTGCGCACTGCACCGCGCTTCCTCTACCCAGGTGAAAAGGTGTCATTAACCCCGTTGTACCGGCAGCACAAGCCTAGTTTATACAGGATGAATAATATCCAGTTTAGCTGGAACACTGAACACTTCTGAGCAGGAAGATGTTTCTTCAAGTGCTGTAATCCTGTCCAGCGCTGAAGCCACAAAAGAATTCATCTGGAGACGCCCACATGGATTTAGTGACACGTTCACATGTTTCACAAACGGACACTTAAGGGTGCACACAAAGAGAACCACGTCAGAGTTTTTGGCATCATGTCAACCTGTCTGTGTGTGTGTGTGTGTGTGTGTGTGTTCAGTAGTAGCTGTAAGACCCTTTGCCTTCCCTGTATGGGAAAGTGCATCGTTTCAGTTTGCACTTCCAGGTGTACTTTAGTTTCTCCAAGGAAGCAAGACTGACACACAGCCAAGTGTGAAAGATGTCATTAAAAACCCACGAGGCATGTTTATGGAGTGCATGCCTGAATGGAAAAATACTTGCAATGCAAACTTGGGTCAGTCAATCCCAGTGTTTGTAAGAGCCCCAAACCCTTCTCTGTCTCCTAATTACTTCCTGGAGAAATTAAGTCATCATTTCCTGTATGAGCAGCAGCGTAGGAAGTAGTTGGCATCTATTTAATTCTGCTGTGTGACTGACAACATGCTGTATCTCTTCCTGATTGGGGAAATAAGCAGCAAACCACAAATTGTCACTAATCGGTTTCAGCATCAGTACAAACCAAAAAAAAAGAGTCAGTTGGTTTCGATAAGCAAACATTTCATACAAATCAGACCAGATCAACCAGTCCCCATTGCTTTTGTTCTTCCACTGGTGATACAGATTACCAGCACTCGGGATTAATGTGATTTTCTTTTCATTATGGGTGTAATCTGACCTGTATTCCCTTTTTATTATATTGTCCTGTGTTGTGGCAGGTCACCACACTGTGTACATTGGCGTGCACGTTCCCAAGAGCTACCACCGGAGGAGACGCCACAGACGCAAGTCTAGCCACAAGGAGAAGCGGGAACGAGCCGAACACAGCACGGAAGGATACAAGTCGGACGGCGAGAACGCAGATGAGTCGACCGCGAACGTCCTCAAACCTCTCAGTGAGTCCTGGTGAAGTCCAGTAGAAGCATCCATTTGTGCAGAGCGTAATTTACGGGAGCGACATTAGTAATGGATAAATCTGTGCTGAGATGTTGGGTGAGATCCAGCAGCGTTCTGCAAATCACAGCCCACAGGATATCAGTGCTGCTGTAGTTAAGGAGGTAGTCATTCAAATAGAGCGGGAAGGGCTGGGTGGGGTGGCGGCCAAGAAGGGGACTGGGAACATGTTGAATACTAATCTGAAAATGACACTGGATTGGCTTAAAGTGTGTAAAGTCAATACAAGGAGGGGTGTTATCTGTCGCCTTGGTGATTAACACGGTGCTTTGTGGGATTTGTGAGACGGGATTCTCAGAGGCTAAAAAACACGGGTGGATGGGAAGAATGAAGTCAAAAATCACACAGGATAGATGAGGATAATGTTGAGCCACAAGTGGGTCTGATACAACCTCAGTGCTGAGAACAAATAAGGATCACGTGATCAAATTTGTGAAATAATTCATAAATTTAGTGGTAAAGCAGAATCTACCAACGGCACTGAATAAATGTTAGTCCACAAAATGCACATTAAGATTGTCAGTCTCAGGAGTCTTCTTCCTGCTGTAGGGAAACCACACCAGATGTCTTTCCTTCTATAGAAGCTTAGAAAAGAGGGATGGTTCAACCATTAATCCCGTGATCGTTTACTAGAGCTGGAGGAATTATTATTCTTTATTCTTCAGATATAGGTCAGTTTTAACCCGTATGACTCCTCAGTGTCCAGGAAGACAATGTGGTGACACAGGTGGGAAAGCATTACACAAACATTTAGCATCAGTGTTGAGTAAGTGAGCCATTTAATTGTGTGGGGGATCTCCTGTGTTGTATCTCTAAGCCCTGATGAAGGCTCTGTGCCACCACGCAGACGGTGCCAGACATTACAGTCTGGTTTAAAAGCTATTTACAACACGTACAATTATCACAGCACTGGAATTCACCTTAAAACGGCTCAGACTGGGAACCGGCGCAGTGGGAGGATGTTATCGCTCTTTACTTTACTGCTGGCGGAGGTAACTATTACAGTATCGGTTGGAGAGGTGGGAAAGAGGAGGAGGAAAGGCAGGGATTTACCTCCCAACTCATCGGGGGCGTGTGTGGACAATGACGGCAGCACCGCAAATCAAGAATTATAAGATGAGACCAAATTCAAATAAAGCTTTAATAAAATAAGTAGTGTAAGTAGTATTTGTATAAGAAAATATGGTAAGAGACTAAAGCTGCTTCAAACACAAGTTCACAGACACAGTAAGAAGAGTTTAATCGTAGCAACATGTCATACAATAAATAAAAACTTTATGTGAATGCAGCAGGAGCATCGTTTGGAGCAACACCAACCAGAGAGAGAGAGAGAGAGAATGAAAAATAGCTGGTATTGATTCATAGCAGGTGCTGGCCTGTGATTTATTGACTTCTGTAACCTAACCCAAGCAGTGCTAAGGTGAAAGCTGCTCCCTCCTTTTTCTTTTTTTTCTTTTTCTTTTTTTTTTTTTAGCTCAGATGTCCTTTTTTTTTAAGAATGCAAACTTAAGCAGCAACGTCAGTTTTGATGCTGCACTTCATGTGCTTCATTGCTTGGCTGCTGTGATTGCAAGACACAATTAGCAAAAACCGGAATGCTTCAGAATGGGGTCGGGGAATTTAGGAATTGAGGTCGGACACGGGAGACGCTGTGGTGCGGATCAGGGTTGGGACTGCAACAGGAGCGTCGCAAGGAATTTACATCTGTTTCATCAACTGACAGTCTATTTTTTTTTTAATACATATGCAGCAGCTGTTACAGTCCGGTGTTACATGTTTGTTCAGCATTCATTCAGGACCCCAGTTACACATAGGTCTGTTTTCACAAATGAGATCCAGATCAGCACAGATAATAACGTCCATATAGTATTATCAGTTCGGTCTCAGTTGGGTAACAGCTCTGTAATGAGTAAAGGTGACAGTAATCTAAGAAGTAAAGTATGATCAGGTCAGTAAGTTCCACCCGTTTCATCCTCAGCACCTGCAACTTTTCTTTATCGCACCAGCGTCGCATCAAACTGTCGCTTGACGGACTCGGCGCAGCAGACAAGCACTCGACTAATCCTCTCACGCTGCTGCTGCTGCTGCTGCCGCCTCCTCTGACGCTGTAATCCTCCTTTGTTACACCTCATGCTCAGGTGTAAACCAGCCCGGGTGCTTAGTCATTCAAAGGTGCCATGATATTACAAGAGTTTTGCTCACATTAATCTCTGTCTGCATGTTGTGTGAGGCCTATCTGATTACTGCGTGAGTCATGCAGAGTTGGATTGCAGGGCCACAGCGTGACGGTAAACACTTACATAAAAGGAAAACTGCACTGGACTTTTTATTTATTTTTTTTTTAATTTTTAAAATTAAATTTAAATTTAAATTTATTTAACAACTGCCTTTTCCAGTAGTTTCATATCTCTTACAGGATAATTGAGTGACCAATAGATAAATATATCTATATATGGAGATAAGAGCTTTACAACTGTTCACTCCTCAGTTAAGCATTATCAGTGATATAAAACTCAGAACAGTAGCGGTTTAAACTGTGCTTCATAAATTGCAACCTAAATGTCTGTTGCAATCAACATTACAGATCTGGCTTGTTCCTTTCCAAATCTTTGAGGTCTTACATTAATGCCCTTAATTTACCCTGCAGCATTTCATGTGTGTGTACGGTCCAAACATGGCAACATGTGTGTAAATGCTAACGTTGTTGCTGGTTGTTCGTCCATAGAATCCGTATGGGACTGTAAATCAGCAGCCAGTTGGACAGAAGTGGGAGAAAACCAAATGCAGAAGCAGTTTTTTAAGCTGCACTGTGGTTCACTTTGGTTTCACCCCCTTCACACGCACACACACACAAACACAAACAGACAGAGCCTCCTGCTTCTCTCTCATCCTGCTGTATCTCTGTAGAAGATCTGAGCTGTAAACAGTCCTGTGAGGTTGAATGAGAGGGCAGACCCTTCTGTATGATGAGCTGGAGCTGCTGTTGGGATAAACACGTCTCTCCTGTTGAGCAGTAAAGATTTTCATATTAACCTTTTTGACCTTTTTATTTAATAAGAGGGCACGTCGCCTCCTGCTAACTTGCATTTACTGTCCGCTGCCTCCACCACTAGCTCTCTATGAATAATTGAAGTGCATCGAGGGGATCTGAATCAGCAGGTTTGAGTTCCCTAAATGCAGCGTGTGTGAAAAGGTTGTGGTATATCAGTACATGCATACAGTATGTGATGGTCAGAGGATGTGATGTGTGGGTATGATGACATGCACCAGACGTCAAAAGCCCCAACTCAAAACATACACATCTCTAGACAGTGCACACAGAGCCCTCCACTTGTTGGATTTTCCGCTGTTTTGCCCTCCATCTAAATCTCCATAATCCTGTTGATTCTAGCAAACCCTGCAGAGCTGTCCACTTAAAAGTTGTGTGCAACCACAACAGAGGCCTGGTTTTCATTGATAACACCAGTTGGGAGGCTTAAGAGGTGAGCGGTGTTGTGTACACCGTGTGGCGTCGATAAGTGTTGCATTAAAAGTCGGGGCTCTGCGAGTCAGTGAGTCAGTCAGTCAGCCAGCCAGACAAATGACGGCAACAAAGGTCCTGTGGGAATGAGGAAAAAGATCTCTTGTGTTTCTGTTTATAGCCGTCGCTGGATGTTGATACACACGATGGGGGAGACACTAAGTGTTCCGTATCCTAAAGCTGTTTCCAGTGTTTGCACGACACTGATCTTGACCTTCGTGTAGCTTAACAGTTGTTAGATTTTCTCACCGCGGTGGAACAGCTCCGACCGTACTATTTTAAAAACAGCCACCCTAAGTTAAGCTTGGGCGCGCTGTTTCAGGATTAAAAGGTTACAGACACTGTTACGTTGTCGAAGTTTGGGCCTGTGGAATCCTGACTGGTGCAGTATATCAAGAGAAAGCTGCATAAATAGACTTCCTGTGTTTTACCACTTAACCTCCGCTTTGTCATCACTTCACGGTTGCACAAAAAACTGTCAAATTAACAAGAATAATTAGTTCTTCTCGCAATAGGTAACCCATTGTATACTGACTATAAAACGCTGGGGTTCTCCTTTTTATTGTTGTTTAATCTGGGTTCTTGGCAGAATCCTGGAGTTATAGCTTCCTCTTCATTTATCTCTATAATCTCTGAACGGGAAGAGGGCGGTGCATATTTTAGTGCTGCACGCTCAGTGTTCACAGGTCAGTTTGCCGACATGAATCTTGTCACACCTTTCTTAGAAGGAAGTAAAAGTTGTTTGCTGAGGAAAAGTTCTTCCTCATGCATGCGAGTCGTAAAAAGTCCTTCCCTCCATCTTAAATACCAGTGCTCTTGTCATGGGGTCAAGCAGGTCAACTGATGTGTATTTTTACCTTCTCTGCAGATCAATATGGCTGAAACACACATGTGAAGATGCACTGCACTGCCTTTTTTATACAGTTACATCATTGTTCGTCCAAAACAAACATGCACTTTTTCATTTGCAGACTAATTACTCTGGTTTCTGTTTTCCTGAATAGTTTTACTGCTGACTTTATTTTCCCTCGAGACTAATAAAACCTATTGTCACTGCTGTGACAATGAAATATTCCGTCTAGGTATCTGACTTCCAGGTATTTCTTCGCAGAGGAAATGAGTGTTGTACGTAAAAACTCATTAAACAAAATATCCTTTGACAACAGAGCATGAGAAAACACCTTGTGTTCACCTATTTTACGTTTGCTTGATCCTGATAGATGTGTGACAACAGGCAGTGTGTACATGATGACTTGACTTCATGAAAACTGCATGATAAAATAAGATCTGCAACTGTCTGGCCTATTTCTTGCTTCAGGTTAATTCCTGCACAGACAATTTGAAGTTGCATACAGTACAACCTGACAGCACGTGTAACACCACAGTTTTTGATCGGCTCCGGTGCAGTAACTAGGATAATATCCAGAGGGATTCAAATGGCGTGTTGAAGTGAGGCAGGATTTGTCGCTCTCTAACTCGCCTCTTCCTCCTCACAGTTTCTCCAGCTGAGAGGATCAGGTTTATCCTGGGAGAGGAGGACGATGGCCCCCCGCCGCCTCAGCTCTTCACCGAGCTGGACGAGCTCCTGTCCGTGGACGGGCAGGAGATGGAGTGGAAGGAGACAGCCAGGTGAGTCCAGTGTCTTTAAAGCCAGGCAGTGCAATCCACTCTTTTTTTTTTTTTACATTAAGTGCCATGGGCAGTGTAGTCAAAAATTTCCTGCTTCACAATCCCAGTGCGGTCAGCGGAACACAGTCCCCTATGAATAATCACGTTTTGTGTGTGTAGGGAAATAGGCCGTACTCCAGTGAACTCCCAGTCTACTCTTATCTGATTGAGATCAGTAGTACCTGCTCTGTGAGAGCAGGAAGAGGCAGAAACTCCCACATGGTCAGAACAAGACGTAATGTTACAGCTGGCTTTTAGAGCACATTGAATTTGGGCATAGACTCTTTAATGGTTCCTTATGTCCACATGTAACATGTTTATCTTTTCCTTTTTTTTTATATTTTCGTTGTGATAAAAGAAGTTGTAATAAAACTGAGATAGCTTAAACTCACTTTAAAGAGGGAGTTACACAAAGAGGGAAGGTAAATGAACTCCTTGAGGTCGACATGGCCAGGCTCCTCTCCCAGTAAGATGTCTGGTCACAGGCGTGTGGACTGTCGCCAGGGGGATACTCTATCCCCGAAGGAAACCCCATCCTCAGGCCTCAGGAGAATGGCTCTTTGTAGACGTGACATGTGAGGCATTATTATTAAAAAGAATCCTTGTCCTGAGTCTTAGCTTCAAGACTAAAGCTATCCATGGTACTAACAAAGTCTTCTTTCTCTGATTGGGCCATGTGTGATCCGAGAGCTATGTAGGAATGTTGACATTGCAGTATGCCATGTCTTTTCTTACGTTTAGTGATTTTATATTTAATTTCTACACTCTCCTGCATCCCCTGTTCTTGCCTTGTGAAAAGTGACCAAGTCAAAACACAACAGGGTTATTTTAGTAAAGAAAGGAAAAACCCATCTTGTCTCCTTTTTTGTTCGTAGCCCATATTTGTTCATAAACTTTTATGAAGCCATTGTCATGTACGCTTATTTATTTATATATTCTGCAGTGACCTTTCAGGAGCCTGTGTGATGGAGGAGGGGGGGAAAAAAAAAGAAAAGATTATATACACACTCTGGTATCTGGGCTTTTTCTGCAACGCCACATTTGTTGGCAAGGTCCAGCACACTTGTGCAAAGTCCAGTACTGTAAATACATCTCAACGGTTCTCCCTCTGTCTTTTGTCCTCCTCCTCCTCTTGTCCAGATGGATCAAGTTTGAGGAGAAGGTGGAGAAGGGTGGCGAGCGCTGGAGTAAGCCTCATGTGGCCACGCTGTCCTTACACAGCTTGATGGAACTCAAAACGTGCATCGAGAAGGGCACGATCATGCTGGACCTGGAGGCCACCACGCTGCCGCAGGTTGTCGGTAAGTAAGCGCCGACTGCACCCAGGACGTCCGAAACGCCGGCGCATTCTTGGAGGGTTTTTTTTGAAGAACCTGAGGGACATCGCTTGGTCTTTATCTTCAATCTGTCCGTCCTTCTAACAGAGATGATCACCGACAGCCAGATCGAGACTGGTCAGTTGAGGGCGGACCTGAAGGAGAAGGTCGTGTACACGCTGCTACGGAAGCATCGCCACCAGACCAAGAAGTCCAACTTGCGCTCTCTTGCAGACATCGGCAAGAGTGTTTCCAGTGCTAGTAGGCTGTTTTCCAACCAGGAGAACGGTAATGAAAAACCTTTTCATTTATTTATATATATATATTCTTTAATCCCTCTTAACCCAAACCTTTTCACTTTTACTCTTTGTCTTCTCATATTTCATTTCTGATGTCAAACCCTAACACTAACTGCTGTTGTAAATTTTCTGTCCTAATACAACCTCTCACTTCTTTTCCTCCTTGTCTTTTTCTCCACCTTGTTTTCCTCCTCCCTTTTTTTTCCTTTTTCTGTTTTTCTTTTCTCTTTTTGGTCTATGCTGCCTCTGACTTCCCGCATCTGGGGATTTATAGCACGTAACCCCCAAGAGCACCCTGTGCCTTGTTTAACCCCACAAGACCCAGAGGAACCATGCGAGGTCATGAGGAGCTCCAGCATGGGATACCTCTGTAAGTGAGGTCACAGCAGCGTATTTGAAACATGCTCCCCATTCACTGTAAAACTTGCACTCATGGAACACAAAAAAAAAAAAAGTCCATTGTGTTAAAGAGCTGGATGTGCGTTTATTCAGCGCTCAGTGTAGAAACACACAAAGATACAATAGCCTCACTGAATAACTCCTGATGTATCTGACTGCATATTTATTTGGCAAGAGAAAGCTAAAATGCTGAAGACTCTGTTCTCTAACACTGTGGATGAGTAAGTGGATCGAATGGATTTCCAAAGTTTACATTCTCAGTAGTTGCCTCAGACCGCCATGTTTCCCAGCTCTCCTCTCTCTCTCTCTCTCTCTCTCTGGAGCGCCTGTATGAATGACCATCTGGCATTAGTCCTAAAGCTTAAGCCTCGCCACATTTAGCCCAGGTCCTGATGTTTCTGTCTGCATGTACTTTTCCTGATGCCTTTTTCTTCTCTTGGACTTGTCTTCTTCTTCCTTGGCCACCAATGTCTCATTTGAATGTCTGCAGTAATGTCTGTTTCCCAGGCCTCTAACAACAGCGTCTTACCTCTCTGCAGGTAGCCCAACCACTACCCATCGAAACCTCACCTCCAACAGCCTGAGCGACTTCTCTGACAAGCCAGAGAAGGATCAGGTAATATGTTTGCGTAGAGACGATGCGCAAGCTACCGTGCAGGCCGGTAGATGAGAATCCAGGCCTTCCATTCACAAAGCAGCACTATGCAGGGTCATGTGTTGGGCTGTGTGTGTGCATGAGCTTGTGAGCGTCACATACTGGTAGATAAGACCCCTGACTCTCTCCCTGCTCTGTGAAACAAAAGCTCACTGTCTCCTGTCTTTGTCGTGCGAGTTTCTATCATCGGCACATGCAGTTTCTCTCTCTCTCTCTCTCCCTCTCGCTCGCTCTCTCTCTCTCTGTCTCTCTTTGTCTGTCATGAGTCATGGATGAAGAAATTGGCTGTGTGCTCTACAGATGCACGGCACACAGACGAAAGATCACAAGCAGTTAAACTGTAACCACTGGATTTACGCTCCAGCAACAGTTAATGAAACTGTAGATTTGTCAGAATGGTCTGGCCTTTGACTTTACACCAAGGCCTCAGTTAATCATCACCTTGCAAGTGAGTTTTTGCAAGTTTAGTTTTTTTTTTTTTTTTGTTCCAAAATCAGATCAGTGTAGACTTTGCATGTCACTTGAGTGTAAGACTGTACATGCAGTTTCATACACTGTTGTAAAGTTTATTACGTGGCATAAAGTCAAGCTGCTGTTCAGCAAATAATTCTAGGAAAGGGCGGGAACTACCTGTTCTTACGTGCTTATAGAGTACCAACACCCCGTCAGTTTTCACCATGGTGCGGCCACATTTAAAAAACAAACCAAACATTTATTTGAGATGTCATCTATCATGTCATACTGTATATACTGTCATACTGTGTGCGCATGTCCTGCTTCTTAAATCTGTATCTTGCATCAAATAATTGGCATCCATTGTTACTAATTCTGCCTGACATTTTCATTCACTGACTCCGTTTCCTCACCTCTTTGTCTCAACAGCTGAAGAATAAGTTCATGAAAAAACTGCCCCGTGACGCGGAGGCATCAAACGTGCTGGTCGGAGAGGTAGATTTCCTGGAAACTCCCTTCGTGGCGTTTGTTCGTCTGCAGCAGGCCGTCATGCTGGGGGCTCTAACTGAGGTCCCTGTGCCCACGAGGTAGGAGCACACGGCATCTTTAACTGTAAAAGTACAACCGCCGCTCGGGTGATATCATGAGCAGCTACGCTGAAACAAGTTTCTCAGATTTGCAAATGTACCCTGATGTCTTGTTTTCTCGTTTTTGTTTTTCAGATTTCTCTTTGTGCTGCTGGGCCCCAAAGGCAAAGCAAAGTCCTATCATGAGATTGGAAGAGCCATCGCAACCCTGATGTCAGATGAGGCGAGTTATTACTATGCTAATTTCTTATTTTGTTCCTTTACTTTTTTCCACTGTTGAGTCTGAGCAGAGAGATCGACCTGGTTTTCATGGTAGATATAGTTGCATTAAGGGATTATGTTAATGTTAACCTCAAATAACAGCTTCTACATGAGCGTGAAATTCATTAACGACGATTAATGAGTTGTTTATTTAATGGGTTTTGTTTTGAATAGGACCGCCATAACACTTAATTGAATCTCACTGTTATCACGCCACAGATGACATCATCTTTAAGCCCAGACTGGTTGTGAACCTGGGATAATAATTTTGGAAGTTGCAAGTCTAGAAATGAAGGGTGCTGATACCTTTCTGCTCCGTCTACAGTCAGTAAATAATGACTAATAAACAAGTGTTGACCTATAAATTCAGTTGAAATAAATAAATACTTACTGAGGCGCAGCTGTGGTCCTCTTGAGCTAAATGCTCATGTCAAAATGCTAACATGCTCACAAGGAGAATGCTAACATGCTGGTAGCAGGTACAGGTATAAAAATGTTTACCATGTTAGCCATCTTAGTTTAGCGTGTTAGCATACTAACATTTGCTAATTGGCACCAAACACAAAGCACAGCTGAGGCTGATGGAAATGTCAGTAGCATGGACGTGTCTCTGCCGTATTTCATGAAAGTCCTTTTTTAGTAGTTTGCTGCTGTTTTTGTCAAAACCACAGACGGTAACCTCGAGGTGGAAAGTCAGGTGATCACCAAGGATTCATCCTCTCAGGGCCGCAAACGTCCGAACAAAATTTCACAGGAATCCATTAAATAGTTGTTGAAATATTTACGTGTGAGACAGTAAAACAATATTCATTATTTATAAGGTCAAACCGCAGTGATTAACTAGTGTGAGAGTGCCGTTCACCTACACCTCCTTCAGTGTTTGTCCTCTTGCCAGATCTCAGCTCTCTGGATATTGCTGTATTAATCATCACAGCAGTTGGTCTAGCCAGGCTGTTGGTAGTGACCAGCTCATAGCTTAACTGTTAAGCTGTGTGTTGAAGTTGTGATAGACACATTTTGCTTTGGTGTCAACAGAGTAAATCCCATACAATAAGCAAAACAATGTCTTTATTTAAACTCTGCGTTTTTATGTCTGTTACATCCTCTGTTATTTTCAGCTCCGTCTGCTTTGTGTCTCTGTTGTGTGTCTTCACTTCTCCCGACTAAACCTCCGTGTCGTCAGGAATGTTAACAAGCAGTTCATAATGTTCTTAACCCTGAGAGCACCTGGCCCGCAAATTCCCACAGGCCTCGGTATATCTCATATGTCAACAAAGCAGGATAGGAAGTGTTTTTCCAGGATTTCCTCAAGTTAAACTTTACCCCCTCTCCTGTCCTGTGACAGTTGTGTCGCATGTTTGTCAGATGTTTGTGTGTTTGAGTACCCAGGCCGTCCCGTAGGACTCTACCTGCCTGTTCCAGTGCTGCGAGGACACGTACAGATGCTGACACATTATTTATTTACATTGTGAAAGAGAGAGAATTCTTGGCTGTTGTCAGTAATGTAGTGTTGAGGTTTTTCAGTAATAGGCTGCACTCTGTGTCCCGGCAGTCAGAGGGTGAGAGGGCAGTTTTGTAGGGGGGGGTTCTCCAAAGCCAAATTGGCTGATTTACGAATAAGTCGGTTCTGTTTGTTTGTTTGTCGGCAGGTATTCCATGATATCGCCTACAAAGCGAAGGACAGGCAGGACCTGCTGGCTGGTATCGAGGAGTTCCTGGACGAGGTCATCGTCCTGCCTCCTGGCGAGTGGGACCCTGACATCAGGATAGAGCCACCCAAGTCTCTGCCCTCCTCGGACAAGAGGTCCGCTCTAATCCATGCACCCTAATCCAAATTAATGAAGTCACTGCACATGAATCTATTATAAATCCATCCAGTGTGTCACATGAACACACAGTATATTTCAGCATATTTCACAGAATTAATGGAAATTCTCCCTATTTTCTATTTTTTGTTTTATTTTTTCTACTTCAGCTACAAATGAGTTACTGGATGATGTAAAACCAAAACTACTGTTTTGCTTTTAGCTAAGCAAATGCCAAGCTTTTGTTGCACAAGTGGTGCAGAGTCATACAGTCAATAAACCGTCTAACTTCCATTATTGTAGCAAGTATTTACCTAACGTTTATCAACATAAGCAAACGTTAGCCGCAGTAAGATAGAGCTCATACCAGACCGAGTGAGGCTGTAGCAAAATCAGTGAGTGAATTAAATTGCTTATGAATTCATTGTTCATAAGATGATGATTGTTATGTCTCAAGTGTACACACACAAAATATCTATCCAGATTTAAAAATGTGGACTAAGCATAGTTACTGCACATGTGACACCAGGCACATCACAACACTCACCATATTAACCTGAAATTGATCCATTATGCCGGTATAGCATCTTTGAAAGTTATGAGTATTGTTTGTTCTTTATGTATTCTCTATATTTGTATGTATGTGACATGTTTCTATAAAATACACAATTTTTATTATTTGTATAAAATGTTTTTCTCTCATGTCTTACACGACATTGACACCACAAAAGAAGACCCACTGTCTTACTGACAGATTTCCTGCTAGTTTCTCTGTGTGTTTGAATGTATTGACAGTTCGTGGTACAACATTTTTTTGTTGTTGTTTTTTTTTTAAGGAAGAACATGTACGCTGGATTAGAGACTCCTCAGATGAATGGCGATACTCCTCACGATGCGGGACACGGTGGGGGAGGAGGTCACCAGGTCGGAGAGGAGCTTCAGCGCACGAGAAAGTAATTAATCACTTTCATAATTGAATATATTGTAGCTAAAGAAATCTGTATCATATCCTCAGGGATTGCAGATTCTAAATGAACATATTTATATATATATACTCTATAATAATAAAAAAAAGCTATACAAAGTCATGATCCTCATACTATTGCATGAACCTTGTAAATGAGTCAGTTTTTGAATCCTGATTATAATCCTGATGGCATGTGATTGTTGGCAATATGCACCATTGAGTCAAAATAATCACCTCCAGTCTTCCAGTAAGTATCCGATGAGGAAATGTTCCACACATAAAGAACAATGAAAGCAATTGACTACTGAGTCTCTTTTTGTTTTCCTTTTTATTCAGAACAAGTTTTTCTTTCTCAGTTATCTTTGCCAAAAATCTTTTCTTCCCACCTGCTGTACAACATGTGTCATTTATACAGCTGAATGAAAGATAAGAAGGATATGAAACTATGCCGCACCCACTGATTAGAACGGTTCTGTCTTTAAGGTTCTGCGGAGGTCTCATCCTGGATATCAAGCGAAAGCTGCCGTTTTTTGCCAGTGACTTCTATGACGCGCTACATATCCAGTCTCTGTCTGCCATCTTGTTCATCTACCTGGGCACAGTCACCAATGCGATCACATTTGGGGGCTTGCTCGGAGATGCTACGGACAACATGCAGGTAACCCCTCGCCACATTGTGGTGTTTTATTTTACTTTATTCACCGTGACGGAGGTTTCTTTCTGCACAGATATTGTGGTGCGCATTCAAACGGAAAAGCGCCACAGTTTCCTGTTCAACATGCACCAGCTTTGTCTTGCGTGTTGTGATTTGACTGCTGACACAGTTAAACCTGGTCCCTAAAAGTCCAACTCTGACCTAAATTTAACCACTCAGAGGAATTAGACCTGAAACCACATTGAACCAGTTTGGGTTCAGGCACTTACTCTTACACAGTAGTTGTGACTGGAAGCTCAAAGCCAGTCTCCACAGAGTGCATGTGAATATCTGCCTTTACATGACACCGTTTTTTTTACTTAGCTAAAATGAGGCAATTTGGTTCTAAATTTAAATATCTGTAAATGTCAAACATGACTTAAAACACAGTAATTAAACAACATAAACAAACGTTTAACACAGCGGTTCCCTTTGAAAACAAAGAAGTTAAATGAAGCCACCTGGAGCTTGTTGTTTCATCATTTCCACATAGACTCTAATGCTGAAGTCGGCTGTGTTTTACAGACGTGTGACTCTGAACCTTTATTTTGGTCACACACTGTGTGAAAGAAACAAGATTGACAAGCTGATAAATACTGGTGAATTGGCCTCTAATGCAAATATCTTTGCATAGCTGTGACTCGGTACTAAACAGAAGTGTAACATTGGTCTCTTCCTTTCCTCTTCTTTATATCCAAGCGGCACATTTTTGCCATAATATCCTATGTAAACTTTTTTTCAAAGCTCCCCATTTTAAGTAACAAACTAATGCACAACAAAAGGAGTTCACTTCAGCTGATAAGCCATGCTAATTTGGAGCTCAAAGGCTCATACTGCATCCATCTGTTGTACCTGCTGTTGACAGGACTGCATATGGAAGAGTTGTACAATTGTGCTATGATAGCATACACTGCTAGCTCCATCCACCCTTGTATCCCTGATAGCTGAGTGTATATAGCTCTCCAGTAACTTTGCTGCTTGCTTTAGCCTCTCCCCTGGCAAAGAGCTGCAGCCAAGCAGACCTGTAGAGCACCGGCCTCGGGGATTTGCCCGGGCTGTAAATAACCACAGATCCAGATTACTCAGCCACTGTAGCTCCGTCATGGCTGCGTTTCCAATGACCACTCCTCCCCACCCCCACCCCCACCTACCCCTCATAATGAGTGCAACGCCTCAATCCTGCATCACTTTTCCACTCTGGGAACGACAGAGGGAATCCCTGCCCTCAACCGAACCTTTCTCAGCAGGAGATTAACAGTGTAATTGTTAATTACTCATCTATCCACTGCATCTATTTAGCATTACACTAGTAAAATTCACAGGTGATATGACTGGAATTTAAACAGGCCCTTCCAGATGAGTCAGAACTATGGGTGTGTGACGTGTATAGACAAAACAACGTTTCAAAGAGTTAGCATAGTTATCTCATAGGTGTTAAAAGGCTCAAGAACAGTTCTGGATATAAATATGTAAAGGATATGTGTAATACTGATGAATGCAGTCATGCTCTCTCATCTCTTCTGTATATATTTCTTTAAGCTTAGCGTGCTCTGTGAGCTGCTTGTGAAGGCTCCATGTGTTTCTGTGTGTTGCAGGGAGTGTTGGAAAGCTTCCTGGGTACAGCACTGACAGGAGCAGTGTTCTGTCTGCTGGCGGGTCAGCCCCTCACTATTCTCAGCAGCACAGGCCCGGTGCTTGTCTTCGAAAGACTCCTCTTCCACTTCAGCAAGTGAGTAGTTTATCAAACTCAAATCAGTCACAAAATCAGCGATTATTAGAAAGGGTGAAGCAAAGTTCAAAAACAGCCTCAGTGTCCCGGGAGATATTTATAGAGCTGAGTTTTTCCCCAGAGGACAGATGCAGTTTGTGTGTTTACAGCAATTCGAACCCCCCCCTCCCCCAATAAAACATAATAAATACAAATGGATAATTCACATTTACAGCGGTGCTACGAGATTTGTTTATTTGAACAATCTCTCACTATAACTTTTTGTGCTTACTGTAAATCTGGTAGCAGTAACAGATTGTCCAGGCTACAGCTGCCAGCTGATTGTTTTCCCATTTGTTTTTGCTGTCAGCTTCCTGTCTCGATTGACTCGGGGTCAACACCTGCACCTCACCGACCCTCTGCAGAACTTAGATGAAGGGGAATGTATAATAAAGTTCATTAAACAGAAAGCACTACCTCCTCTAATAGTACCATCTATGGGGAAAATTAATTCAGTAACATTTTTGAAAACATTAAGTTTACTTTTTTCAATGCATCACTGCATATAATACCACTAATTGTGCCCTTGTTTGTGCAGATTAAACATATAATTTAACAACACGTGATGGATATTAAAGATTAGATGCTGACTTGTCCCTCCTCCTTCCACTGTACGCCCTTCCTCTCCCAGAGAGTGTCTTCTAGCATTACCAAACACCATGCTGATTATGTTCCATGATTAATTATTCACTCTCATTTAATTTTACACTGTGAGTGAAGAATGTTGTGGAGCCTCCGTGTCTCCTCCAAATGTTTCCATGCCTCAAGTCGGCGGCTGCTGAGTCAGTGGCAGCTGTTTGTGCGTCTACAGCTGCTGAATACGTACGAACCACAGGTGGATATTTAATATATGGTGAAAAGTCTGCTCACAGCTCGGCTTCAGAATCAATATTGTTTTGTTTTTTAAGGGCTTGAGAGCAAAACTAAGATTTATAAACCTTTTTTTACACCTGAACTTCACATAATTCAGGTTAGACAGGAGTGACTGAACGTACAGTGAATTGGAGGAATACATTTTGTTCACAAAAAAAAAACCCTCCTCTCTATGTGAATCTTCTCCTCAGAGACCACAACTTCGACTACCTTGAGTTCCGGCTGTGGATCGGCCTGTGGTCGGCTTTATTCTGTCTGGTGCTGGTCGCCACAGACGCCAGTTTCCTGGTGCAGTACTTCACGCGTTTCACCGAGGAAGGCTTCTCCGCCCTGATCAGCTTCATCTTCATCTACGACGCTTTCAAAAAGATGATAAAGCTGGCCCACCACAACCCAATCAACGCCGAATACAACTCCAACCTCGTCACTCAGTACGACTGCCGGTGCATGCCTGGTATGTTGTCTTCGCTTCATTTACTGCAGCAGGTTACAATGAGTTGCTGGAATGGTGAAGTAAGATGGATTACAGTAGGACTGTCACTATATCAAGTAACAGGGACAGTGTCTGGTACCAGCGCTCGGTCGTCTCCTCATTGTTGATTGTATCGGGGCGCCAGCAGAATCTCAGTATTACCAGTGATATCAGACAAGAGAAAGTGGAACACTCATATTTGGTTTTGTCCCATTTGGCAGAGATGTTGTTATTGAATGCCAAACAAAGCCTTTGACTTATTTTTCCCATGTTTACATTGGAGATAACGAATGATACTAGAATGTGTCAGCCCGTTGATACCACTGTTGACTTTCTCAACAGCCCTATCGGTTTCTGTGTCGCAAATTACTTGGCAGGATTGTTTGGGAGGGAGATGTTGACACAGATTTTGAAAATGGCAAATGTGATACAGCAAATAACGGCAGCTTGGTGATAAGATATTATTGTTTCTCTTCCTCAGGCAACTCATCAGAACTCCTTGATCTCTCCACCTCGACAAACAGTACTGATCTGGTATGGAGTGTCCTTGTTTTTTTGTGACATCCAGTAGCATGGAGTCCAGAGTTTAAAAACTGTTGCTTAATTCACTGTCACTATTTTTTCTCCAAATATCGTTAACTTGTTGGTTAAAGGAAACTCTTTGCCCTCGTCTCTCCAGCCAGCGAATGCCACCTGGGCGTCCCTGGACAGGGCGCAGTGTCTGAAGTATGGCGGCCAGCTGGTCGGAGAAGCCTGTGGCTACGTGCCTGACATCACCCTGATGTCCTTCATCTTGTTCTTTGGGACCTACACCTGCTCCATGTGTCTGAAGAAGTTCAAGACGAGCCGCTTCTTCCCCACCACAGTGAGTGACGCCACTTCTCGATGCATGTGCGGCACAGACGGGCAGTTTTCTTCTAACTCAAACAGCCAGTGACACAGTTGGCCTGAGTGAATTTTACAGATTTTTTTTTGTGGTGTTCACCAAATACATGCTCAGGTGTCAGTGAGATTCAATGTGGGGTCAGAAGTCACACCGTTTCAAGTTTGAGGCAAAGCGCTGGTGTATAGCTGAGGATGATGGGAATGTTACTTTTACAGACATTTGGTCATGAACGCTGGTACTGGACAAATTTAAAAACTTTGAGCCGATGATGAAAGTCAAGTTAAGGGTTATTACAATGTTTGTTTTGTTTCAAATAATTCGGCCTCTGGTCTAGTTTAAAACCTGTTTACCGTTGTTAGTCACTACCTGCTGAACAACTCTGTTTACTTACCAGAAATTGCAGTAACTGCACTTTCAGTCATAGATGCACACAGTCAGCAAGGTGATATCTGGCACTGTTTGTCAAAACAAACACATGGTTTAACAGGGTGTAGGTCATTGTCATTGTCAAGCGCATGGAAAAAAAAAATTCTCTACAACCTGTATTTCCTTCTGGTGTAAATGTTTCCTCCTTCTAGGTGAGGAAGCTCATCAGTGACTTTGCGATCATCTTGACCATTCTCCTCTTCTGCGGCGTGGACGCCTTGGTCGGTGTGGACACTCCAAAGCTCATAGTGCCAAGTGAATTCAAGGTAAATACCACAGATTGCAGAACTTCTAATAGAAAATAGAAATATGAACATCTACAAGAAGGAAAGTCATTATTCCACCGTGTGCTTGAAACCATTGCATTGAATTGTTTTTAGTTGAATGATGGTGGTCACCCAGGTGCGGTTTCCTCTAATTACACAGATAATGATGCATGTTTCTGCTAGAAAGCCTCTGTAATTCTTTGAAATCCCAGCATAATGCTTTCTTTGTGGTTACCCTTGTAAGCGATACATATTACCTGAAACTGAGATTGCTAAGCTCAAATGTTCCTCAGCTGGTGTTAAGACCCCCCCCCCCCCCCCCCCCCCCCTGCCTCTGACACAGAGAAAGGGAGTGATGGGGTAGAGGAGCGGGCACCTGCATCAAATAACAACTTGATTATAGGTGATGTGAGAACACAGATGGTCTTATAATTGCAAGTACAGAGCCAGCTTTGTTTGACCACAGAGCCTTAATTCACAGATTTCTGTCATGTGATGATGCTCCAGAAATTTCAGACCGTTCAGTGTTAAGACTTACTGAGTGTAATGGAGTAACTGCTTCAAATTGGGGCTCTTTTCTGTTCTATTTGATATGTTATCCACGTCTCAGAGATCTGGACTGTGTTAATGCAGGAATAAAATGTGCAGTGAAGTGTCTCCATGTCGAGGGGTCTGGCTTTCTTTAACAGTCTTGTTCCTGTTATTTTTGTCTAGCCCACGAGTCCACTGAGGAGCTGGTTTATTCCTCCTTTTGGAGGGAACCCTTGGTGGGTGTACCTGGCAGCCGCACTCCCCGCTCTGCTCGTCACCATTCTGATATTTATGGATCAGCAGATCACCGCTGTGATCGTCAACAGGAAAGAGCACAAACTCAAGGTTGGTGCACCTCCTAAGAGTTGAATTAATTAAGTTTTTTTTTTTCCCATTTATTTTATACAAAACAAGGACTCTACAGAAAACTAAAAATAAAGAGTGCAGGAAATGACCTCGGTGACCATGGTATCTGTGCGGGAATCTCTCCTCTTGTGGTTTTTATTCTGATCAGCGTATTCTTCTTCTCTGCTGTCTGTCCTCGCGTCTCCTCTCAGAAAGGGGCAGGGTATCACTTGGACCTGTTCTGGGTGGCCATCCTGATGATCATCTGCTCTTTCATGGGCCTGCCGTGGTACGTGGCCGCCACTGTCATCTCCATCGCCCACATTGACTCTCTGAAAATGGAGACCCAGACGTCAGCCCCCGGGGAGCAGCCTAAATTCCTGGGTGTCAGGTGAGTTAACGGCTCATAGACGGAGTATCTACGTCATTGAAGAATTAAATAGTTTACATGACGGACCAGAGCAGAGGTTTCTTCTCCTTTCTCTATTTTCCCAGAGTTCTGTTGGCTTTTAACTGTGCCAGGTAGTTAATTGCATTCATTTTGGATCCCAGGTGTGAATAAATCTCTTAGCAAGTGGATAGAAGGCAGACTAGTGTTTAGGACCATGGGCCACAGAAAGAATCAGAAGTTGACAAGCACACAGAAATGATGAGATTTATAGAACTGCACCTGCACACTGATCCACAAGCCTCATTCCTTCCTGTCACACTCCCATAAATTGTCGATCCAGAGCCCTTTTATCTTTTGTTGTGCACAAAGAAAAGCAGTTAAATTGTTTTCCAATAAGAAAAAAAAAAAGGGAAAGCCAAAAATAAGCAATCTCACTTGATCAATCAGGAATTAGGCAATCAGAAAGGAGAGAAACAGTAGGACACAAAAAGAGAGAAAAAACAATCTGAAAAGCAGAAATGGGGGGAAAAATTTATGCAGTTCCCTTTTCATTCATTTATTTCAGAGATAACAGTTTCTCTGACAAAAATGTGTCATTGATTGATCGATTAATCTTGTGTTTTTCCTCTTCCCCCCTCAACCCAGGGAGCAAAGAGTCACCGGTATCTTTGTGTTCCTCCTCACGGGACTCTCTGTCTTCATGGCCCCTATCCTCAAGGTGTAGTGCTCCAGCTTCTTAATTCTTCCATGGAAACATGGATTACTGTCCTCCTCTTTTAGGACAAACTCCTGTCACCCCTCAGAAAATGTAAAATAACTTCAAATCTTTGATTCATCCGATTAGGAACTCCCATAGTTGAAGTAATGCGATGTGAAATAAGCATGTTCATCAGGGCTTAAGCTCCGATTGCAGCTGAGTGCCTTCTTGAGTTTCCATTCCCTCATTAAGCTGCCAAATTAGAAAAAAAAAAGAGTGAAGTCACTGAGTGCAGGTTGGTGGAGCTGCTGCTCCCCCTTGTGGACATTTTCTATACTGTGGTCCCACACTGTGTCACTTACCACATTGTCTTGTCATCTGTTAAACTGTAGTGACATTTGAAAAGATGCAAAATGATCATTGATGACTTTTCATCACTTGATCGTCTTCCGTTGCCTCTTTATTTAGGTGGCAAATTTCTACACTAGCTTGCCAGATTGTAGTGGTTTTATTTTTCCCTCTGCTCTAAAGTTATACTCTGTGGCTAATACTGGGCAAGTAGTTACTAAACCTGCAGCAGCGGCAGCCAAGTGACTGCTCACACTGATGTGTCCGCTAAAAGACTGTTCTCAGAAAAGCTGCTTGCGGACTATTTTTAACTGAGCACTGATGCTAAAAATAAACATTCTCATTGCATCTCTTGAATTTTCGTGTTTTTAGAGTTTATGTAAACCTGCACTTACATTAGCACAGCCAGCCAGTCACACCATGGCATTAATACCTTTTTTATATTGTGCTCTGTGTCCTTCAGTTCATTCCCATGCCTGTGCTCTATGGTGTGTTCCTCTATATGGGTGTGGCGTCACTCAACGGTGTCCAGGTGAGTAAGTCTGACCTTTACAGTACCTGCTGGGCTCATTACATTTTTACTAATTGAATAAGTAATTACAGAACTAGTTACTCAACAGCAAAAGTAATTAGTTACATTACTTTTAAAACAACTTTAATTCCTCCACAGCAGCACCTCACATCTTTTTGTATTTAACACGTAGAAATAAAAAGCAGTCAGACTATGTTTGGTTAGTATGTACTGGCCATCAACAGGTAATGTAAGCTGAGCCCACTCCTGTTCACACCCCCTCCAAACTCTGAACAAGCCACAAACTAAAAAGATAATGAGTTTATATGAAATGGAAGATGTCTGCAGCGTCTTATATAAATGACACAATTATTGCTCAACTTCTGGCTGACCCTTGTCCCCTCCCTTGACCTGTTTGTCTGTATCAGTTCATGGACCGTCTGCAGCTGCTCCTGATGCCAGCCAAGCACCAGCCGGACCTGATCTACCTGCGACACGTCCCCCAGAGGCGCATCCACCTCTTCACCTTCATCCAGGGCCTGTGTTTGGCCCTGCTCTGGATCCTCAAGTCTACCGTGGCTGCCATCGTCTTCCCCGTCATGGTGAGACATTGCTGCGGTCACTGATGCAGCTCGAACACAAGCGCGCAGAAATCGATACTGGAGCCTGAAAGCTAATCAAACTATTTCTCTGTTTATAGATCTTGGCTTTGGTCGCAGTGCGCAAGGCCATGGACTACGTGTTCTCCCAGCACGACCTCAGCTACCTGGATGACGTCATTCCAGAGAAGGACAAGAAGAAGAAAGAGGACGAGAAGAAAAAGAAAAACAAGAAAAAGGGAAGCATCGACAGTGAAATTGAATTTGTAAGTAAACCACACTTTCAACCTAAACATTTAAATGTCCATATGTTTCCTTATGTGTCCGGTGCTGTCATGTGATTGTCTACAGCCTCATGTAGATCCTCACCTTTTTAAAGAAATCCATGTGTTAACATTCATCCTTCCCTCCTCCCACAGTCTGACTACCCCTACCATCAAAATGTCCCCAGTATAAAAATCTCTATGGATATGATGGAAAAGGAGCCCATGTTGGGGGATAAATCTTTGGATAGTGAGTACTAGCCAGCGTTCGCTTTGCTATCGCACCAAGGGCCGCTTGAACTACTTTACTTCTAACGGCTTCATGCTCTCATTTTCTCCTGTCGTACTAGTCTTCCTTGCATGCACTTCAACATCAATTTAACATCTTAAAAGATCAATACGCTTTTCTGACTTAATGATGCTCTAACCACCCAGTTTGAACTGTTGAAGTTTACCAGTCTGCAATACTCCGCCCTAAAAGCAGCTTTGTTGGTGCTTGCCGCCGTTTCTTATTCTCTTCTTTCCTGCTGGTGCATTTGAAAGATGTTTCTGAAGTATGTTTTTAAAATGTTTTCTTTCTGTTCTTTTCCCCCCAGGAGATCAATCCCAGACTTTCCTTAACCCGCATTCGTCGTGCTGAGCATTACTTTGAGTCTTCCACAGTGGCTGAGTAAGTGAGTACAAGCTGGCGTTCTCTTCTTATGTTCTCTGAAAGTAAATGCAAAAGTAATTCATAGGCCTGCTTCATGATTCCGAGTTCATCCAGACATCACCTTTATGTTGCACCATCTCCTCCTCTTTCAGTCTTGACAGAGGATCATACATAAAAGGTTTGCCTCAAATTCGAATAGGCCGGGACTCCGAGGATAACGGTTTCTTCTGGAAGAAGGGCTCTGAAACTGATCTGTGAATGAATCGTCCAAAAGTAGAGCAGAACCAACACAACCATCCTCTTTTGTACTTTTGTACCGCTTCATAACGGTATTTTTTTAATATTATTCCTCATGTGAGGATTTGAATCAGAACGGCTGGAAGTATTTGTCTTAAAACTGAAACACTTTGGTGGTACTGAATTTGAATGAAGGCTGACACAAGATCCGTTTGACTGTTTGTCATCTGCGTGATTTCCTGCAGAAAACAAAAGGGCTACTTGAGGTCATCTGTATGCAGTTTGTATGGGACATTAATATTTTATTAATGTGTACACTAATAATTTATTAGGCTTCCAGCTAAAGTCACAGAGGTCCAGGATACAGTAGGTTTGTAGAATACATATGGCTTGACATCATACACACCAGTTTTACCAAACAATCAGTCTCTTTTCTGATAGTACTGTTTTTATAGAAGTTATTTCTTAATGTTCCTTGTAGGTTTTAAGTCATAACTCTTTTTAAGAGTAAAACATAGCGGAGGTACTGCATTTGGAGGCGAGAACTGGGGATACACACGAGAAATCCTCCTTTTACTTGTAGTGAACAAAAGGGCTATGAAAGGTCATCTGTGCACAGTCATGAGCGGACATTAATTTTGTATTTATGGGCATATTATATAGATATATTATTTATCAAGCATCCATCTAAAGCTGCATATTCATAAAACACATCCAGAAGATAATGCAAGAATACTAAGTTTGTTGCATGTAAAGAAGTAAATGGTTCAACACCATACAGACTGGAACTCCTTTTTTTTTTTTTTATATATTTATTATATTTAAACTCTCAGCAAAATAATTTGCTGTTCGAATCTAAAGTATGGCTTTACCATTTAACTTCCCCATTTGTGCAAATTCCTTGTGGTCTGAATCCACTCAGCTGTCATTTCCCTGTTTTAGGGAGTTAGACATATTGTACCAGTATGTAGCTCTACCTCTTATTTTCTAGCTGCCAGGCATTATATATTAAAAACATCTGTTGTGCAATTATTTGTGATCAAACACTGATTTTTTTTTTTTTTTTTTTTTTTTTTTTTTAATCAACTGGCAGTGCATAGCATCTTTGAATCTTCATGTTCAGTTCCTTTTTGTTCTCTGACACTTAAGATATTGTATTTTTGTTTTTTTTCGTTTGTCTGTTAAATAATTATGTATGATTTTACAGTGTTTTAAAGGGTAATTCCACCAAAATTACATTTTAGGTTTTTCAATCAAAAAGCAAAACGATTCATAATTGTTTTAACTATCGTGACACATAAAGGGTAAATAAGACATAAAATAGAATTATCTGGTAATAAAACTTTTGTTTTTTTCTTTTTTGTTTCATGTACAAACGTTAGTGAAGTGATAGCCTGTCCCTCATTTAACCCATTTGAATGAATGCAGTTTAATGTTCTCACACACCTGACCATTAACTTAACCCCTAAAAGTCTATTTGAGTTGAATTTTCCTTTAAAATGTGATCATATTTAAAAGCCGATAATGTGATAAATTTTCAGTCTTTGAGTATATTTTTTATTTTTAAATGATGTATGTGTTTTGTTTTTTTTTTGTTTGTTTTTTTATGAAAATCAACAATCACTGTGAGGCAATGCAATGTTGTGACTTCAAGTCCTGGAAGAACTACTGCTTTATAGTGTACAGAGAAACAAGTGCTTCATTTTAAAACAGGCATCATCATCATCTAAATTCCATGTAGTGACAGTTTGATGAGCAGTGAAATGCACCTGTCTTTAATTTTGTAATATTGTTTAAATGTTTTTATCGTGTTTTTCTTGCTGATCGAAGTAAACACTGTAAGTAATTCAGTAAATTTAAGACATTATTGCATATTTGAATTTAATGCATCTCAATCCTTTGAAATGTACATATTCCTTTTTGAAGAGAAGGACGCACACAATCAGCACTGTCTTTTGATTTTAAGTGCAAATAAGGGCTTTAATACATTCTTTAAAAATCACATCAAGAGGTGTCAATGTGACATACAAGACTGTTAAAGTTGCTTTGAACCAAAAATCAAACTACATTGTCTTCCACTTTGTTCTGTGATCTGTATATCTTGACTTTTGGACTTTCTGATTCCACAATTAATGTAATATTTTATTTTTGATGTTCTAACTCTCTGAAACCAATTTTATACAAGCATCTTATGTGCTCAATAATCATAGGTGACTCAGAAGGAAGCAGATGTCAGTGGGATTTTTTTTTTTTTTTTTGGAGTAGTGTCTTGAATGAGAGCAATAAAACAGTCCAAATGATTCTTAAATGCATAGTTGTGCGTTTTCTTTTAAAAAAAACAAACAAAAAAAACGACAAACAAAAAACCATTATACTACAAGTTGAGCCATGCAGCTCCTGAAGAATGGGTTTTCAAATGATTAGGAGGTTGAAACAATGTGGTGTGACTTCTACAACAGATATGATCAGCACTACAGAGGGTTTATCTGCTGTTTTTAGATGTCTACCAGTGCCTATCATAAGCAAAACAATACAGTCACTTTAGCAAATGTAATGAAAATTCATTAAGAAATGGTCTGTATTCTTACCACATTAACATCTGGTTTGGGAGATTCAGACACATGGAGTGCTTTATGTGTTTTAAAGTGGGCTGAATTCAAACTAAGATCTAAGCCGCAGACACCATCCTCACATCCTGCTGTACGCGCTCGGTCTCACAGCAAAGATAAGGAAGGCTGCATAGTTTCCGTGATCATAGGACTTGAGTCAGCTGGAATGAAACTAATTGGCTCATTACTATGACTCACTGTGTTCTTGTCATTGCCATGAGGAAAAAAATGTGTAATAATTAACTCCTCCTTTTGGTGTGGGAGGATACAGCAGTGTTTCTTGTCCTTGGCATCCACTTGGGTTAATGTCATTGTATATTACAGGTGTTGCCCGAGTGACTGAATATGAGTGATCGTGTGACTGTCGAAGCTCAGGAAGGGAGTCTTGAAAAACAAACTGAAACGCTGCATCTGTTCATCACAGAACCGTTCTCACAAATGTAATAAATGCAGCATACTTGTAACATCACATTTTGTTGAATACTGCTAATGTGCATTGCTTATTGTTCTCACACACACACACACACACTGGTTAAATCCCAAACTGCATTATATTTTGGCTCAAGGGGGCAGTAGTGACTCTTTTCAAAGCACTCTGAATGTGCATGAACCTTTTCAAAAAGGTACATGCACATTCAGGAGTGTAGGTAACAAACATGATTTGATAATCCACAATATTAGAAACAAGTTACCTTAGTAATAGTCCTGAAATATCTACTGCCTGTGTGAAGATGAGGTGCAAAACACACCATGAACAACTTGCATTATAATGCAAGCCACAGTGAGAACAGCAAGTAACATTAGCTGCTAACTTTGGCCGCCACAAAGCTAATGTTAAGATAAAATGAAAAATGTCCTAAACATAATTTGGTCATCAAGGTTCTAATGAGAAGATAAAAAGAAAAACTCCAAGTAACATTAACTTTTTAACATTAGCTGCTAATTCTGGCCATCGCAAATTCAATATTGATTTGATTGCATTATATAACCTCCATAGAGCTTTCACCTGCAGCGACATCCTTGTCTGCAGCTAAGAAATAACAACTGCTTATAATAGTCCCTTTCTCTTCTGAACAATAAGCCTGAGCAGAACCAAACTTAATTCAGGGGGTCTAAGTTTTTGCCATTTAAACAGATTTAATGACAAAAACTTACTTTTATTGTGTGTTTAGTGTGTGTTGGTTTGACCCAAGTCTTATCCAAAGCACTGCAGTACATTCTGGTCAGGTCAGTGTTGGCACCGCCAAGAAACAAATGTAAAAAACATACTATCAATCACTCATTTGGAGACATGAAATCTTCTGTTCTGGCAAAACAATCAATTTATGTCAGGGGTGGAAATAAGTATTCTGCTCAATAGCTTTGTAATCTAACAGCTTTAACACTCTTAATAAACTGACAGGGCACCTGCTGGCTCTCAACACATGCTGTACCTTCCTCCTATACCATGACACGGTTTATAACAATGTCCTGTTATTGTCTGTCCAGACTTTGCTCACTGTGTCATTTCTCAGTTGAGAGGAGCCATTAATGTGCTTTTCATCTGGGTGCTATAAGCAGTTCAACAAGCCACCCCCCCCCCCCCAAATAAAATGTCTTTCACTGTGCCTGCCAAGGCAATCATGGATTTGTTATAAGCATTGTCACAGTTGATAAAATTAATCTATATTTATCATTTCATTTTAGTGCCGTCTGCAAATTATTCTGCACTTTATGGTGGTGTGTCTGCTAATTAATATTTCTCTGTTCTAACTCTCATGCAAGGAACACAATGTTTAAAGAAAAGTGATGTATGCAGGCGTCAGATGGGTAGTCCACAGCATAAACTGTGAGGCACAGGTTTAGTAGTATGCCAACGTCACACCCTGATCTGATGACAACATAAATGCTATGTAATTATACTATCATTACAATGTATAAAAGAAAACAAAGGCATTGCCATATGTATGACTGTGTGATCCAAATAAAGGATAGGATACAGTGTGAAGAAATGTGTCACAATTAGCTCTCAGGGGAAGCTAATAAGACGAGGAGCAGGTCTTTTGGTAGACATTTTAATAATGAGGTAAACGGAGCATAAAAACATGCTGCAACAAATTTTCCTTTTGACTCATGAAGCCTGTAATTATTGTTCTATTTAAACTCTGAGCGTAGCAAGTCATGTTGTTAACCCAGATTTACATAGTGATTTTTAGTTGTAGTGTTCAGCCTCCTTTTCTCATCATCATCAGGTCATCAGTTTGTGCTGTGATTGCAACACTTTTAAAATTTATGCTCGTTTATACTTTTATTCAACATTTCAGTCAAAAATATTATAGCACACTTTTTATTCACATCTGTTTGTAGTTACTACTTACTTTACAGATGTGATATACTTCCACAGGATTATAGTATAGCAGACTAATAGGAGAAATTCTATATATTTATTATTTTTTTTGTGCTTTGACTTAAAAAGTTAAATGCAAGACTTTAAAACATATAAAACATTTACCTGCACAGGAAGCTGCACAGGTACACATACAGTAATAATTTATGTTTTTACACTTCCTCTCCTTTGTCCAGGAGCCTCTCCCAGCATGCACTGCATAAGAGGTGGGTTAAACTCTGAATGGACTGATCAAAAGTAGAGTTGAGCTGAGTATTCCTGGCTGCCACGATGGTCATCAATTGAGGCTTCTAGGGGAAAATAAGTTTTACTGATGCTTCCTTTGAGAAAGCAAAAACACTCTTCTTCCTTGACATTGTTAAACTTTTCATTTCCAGCTGTTTACCAGTAGTGATACAGCCCCTCTTGTGTACAAGGAGCAAAATATTGCATTTACAATTACATAAAAGACACCTACATCTGACTAACAACATGCTATCACTTCAACTGCTTAATGAAGTTAGTAATGTTATGTATTTGTCTGAAAATGTCCATGTAGACAAATGAAAATCTTCATACTTGATGGGCAGTATAGAGAATATAAAAAGTCTACAAGAGCTGCATGTTTTGGGATTGTGGCAGGAAACCCTTACAGACACAGAGAACTCCACACAGACAGAAGCCAGCTGGTTCAAACTAGTGGCTTTCCTGCTGTGATGCATCAGTCCTGGTGTCAGTGTAGTTAATTAGGTCAAACAGCTGGGTGACAGATTCAAGGACAAACCTCAACAACTGGAGAAATTTGATGCAGACGATTCCGTTCAGGTCACGAAGATGAGTGTGAAAATGATGTGAAACATGCACTGCTTCAAAGTCATCAGATCTCAACCCAGTTGAACATGGGAGATGTTGTAGTGATGTTTTAGACCACATCCTGTATCTTAGACTGTCACAAACTTTTCAAAAGTGAAAATATTTCCAGAAATAACATTTGAATTAAATGACATATGGTCATTAGAAGAAGATGAAAGGAAGAAGCCTGGACACTTCAGCGCATACCTGAGGTAAGGTGTAGACATGGTAGCAAGCTAGTGTGCAATGTGCAGGACAAGAAAATAAAGTGTTGCTTTGCAACAGTCCAGTGTGTTATTGTTTATTTGATTATAATTATAGTAGGGCATAAAACGTCAAAAAACATCATAGTAGATTAAGATGTAAAAAACGTCATAGTATAGTAACAAATAAAACATCATAGTATAGAAAGGCGTTAAAATGTTAAAAAACATCATATTATAGTAAGGCATAAAAATGTAAGAGTAGAGTAAGGCATAAAAACATCAAAAAACGTCATAGTCATAAGGATAGTGGTATAGAGACATCATAGTATAGTAGGCTTAAAAGGTAAAAAAAACGACATAGTATAGTATGGCAAAAAAGGTAAAAATTGACATATTATGATAAGGCATAAAAACATCAAAAAACGTCATAGTATAGTAGGGTTATAGAGACAACATAGTATAGTAAGGCTTAAAAAGTAAAAAAAACGACATAGTATAGTATGGCAAAAAAGGTAAAAAATGACATAGTATAAAAAGCATAAAAACATCAAAAAAACGTCATAGTAAGTAGGGTATAGAGACAACATAGTATAGTAAGGCTTAAAAAGTAAAAAAAAACGACATAGTATAGTATGGCAAGAAAAGTGAAAACGACAAGAATAGTATGGGCAAA